CAAACGTCATCGGACCTGAACAAGTCAGCACTCCAGAAACGAAGGGGAGTGTTGAAAGTACATCAAAAGACTTAAGCGTTTCTGAAGTGTAACACTACACTCGAGGAAGATTACAAGGGGTACGCGAGTCAACGGAGGTTACACGAGGGGGCGGACAAAGAACACGAAGGGTCTGGGACTCAAAGGGTCGCAACTGGGAGGTTGCGACTGACCGTTACAACATCACGGATGGTAACAGCGAAGCGGCAGTCGAGTCGCTGTGCGACTCGATAAACGTTCCTGTAACTGCACTTTACAACTGCTTTCTTATCTTCTATATATTGCTGTATGCTTGTTTCTTTAATCAATCACTTGTTCTCATATACTAGTACAAGGGTTCAACTGTCCTCAACTTCCGCTGCACTACTCCAAGTCTCAAGTCTCTACAAAGCTGGGACTTAGTCTCTGCAAAAGAATCCTAAGGGCTTTTTCTCAGCCCAACATAAGCCACGTCAGCTTCTTCCATCGGCGGTGAGCGCAATCCCGGTCCCGTAGTACGACTGGGGCCGCCTGGCGATTACAACAACTCGCACATTCTGGCACTGCAGGTCTTTGATGAGTGGACCAGAATCCAGAGTCGCCAGATATGAGCACCACAGCTGGCCTGGAGGAGGAAGTGGGACAAAACCGCAGTAGATATGGTTGAGGAGTTTGGGTTATTGAGAAAAATATACATAGTGGAGAAATGTAATGGCACCACGTAAAGTAGGACAATAACGTACCTCGGCACGGCATGCTTGTTGTAATAAGCGAAGGCCAAAGCATCGTTGCAGATCTCAATGTCTGCCATGTTTCTTCCAGGCGAAACTATTTTCACACTAACGCCACATCCTGGCAGATCAAGCTCACGCGAGGCACTTGCGCAGCCTTCCCATAAGCATTGAAAGGTGACAACGTGGCCATACGCTGACGCAACAGAACGGAGACCACTAACGACCCTCGAAGTTGCGACACCACTAGGAATTGACAATTCTCGTAGTCCCAAAATACTGCCCACAGCAGGCCACGTGACGGCGGGCGCGGTATGCATCAGATGAGCCTACAAGTAGTTGCTGGCGGAATGCTGATAAGTTTGACGTGTTTCCTCTTTGTCGTTCACACACCGCAGCAACAGGGATATAAGCTGCAATAGAATCAGAACAAACATAACAAGCCCAACATCGTTTTCAGACTTGATGGCCCTCCTTGAGAAGCTCTAGACTCTCCAGGTCTTACAAGAACGGCGTGCTCCTCCTCCGAAACTCCCCCTATCTGGTCTAAAACGGGTCTAAAACGGGTGCATAGATGACCAGATCCAACCCCGGCGTGCTCTCAACCCCGGCACTGCGTTGTATGTGCGACAGAAATGCTATTGGTGGTCCAAGGGACAGGCTGAACGTCGTCTTGTTCTGCGCTCTCCAGCAGCATCGTCTGACGTTTGTACTGTAAAAATGCCTTGAGAGCTCCGAGAAACCCTTCCTCTGACGTTCCAAATTTCCGTCACATTGCAAGCCATGGGTCGCATTCGTGCTGCTGAACCCAAAACGCGCAGAAGGTGTGAGAAGAACCCATCAAACCGGAGCTAAACCAACCCCGCAACTAACCTATCGCTTCTCTACTTTGAGCAACCCGCAAGTAGGGGCCAAGGTTGTCGTGATGGCTTCCTGGATGGCTTACGCGATGCAGGTAGCAGCATACTCGGGGGAAGGAGGAACGAGAAATGACGACGGATGAAATCTCTGGAGGGGAATGGGTAGCCTCAGCCGAACAAGGACAATGCCCTGGTGGGCTTGGGCCATACAAGAATCGAGGGAGGAAGCTTGGCATGAAGGGGAAAAAAAACTCGCTAAGGAGGAGGCAGTTATTGTATTTCACTGTGGAAAAACTAATATGGCAACATACACCAGTAGAACATCTACTCTGAATGAATGGACTTGAGAACTTGTAAATGTGTACGTGGGAAATTAACTGATGACACTTCTGTCATCACATTGCGTACATAGATGTAACCTCGCTCGTGGAACAAAAAAAGAGGGCAACGGAGGCGTTATTAGCAACTCAATTTGATCTTTTGTATCTCTCCACATAACAAATCATACTACCAAGGCCAGAACTACCACCCCATTCAGTTTACAGATCAGGGCAAGAGGTGTACCGCCCACCTGGCTTCATCCGGCTGTTGATTCTCTTTAGGAGGGTCCTGGTACCCGCGCAGTCGGAACAGTGGTACACCGCACACCACGCAGCAGCGGCGGTAGTGGATGGTGGGTGGAGCTGGTTACAGTTGATCTTCAGAGCAGCAGGGGTGAGAAAGAGTGGGTGGCGTGCTGCTGGTCATACTAGTGCGCCCGCTGACTCCAGCTGCCAGGCTGTGGTTACGCGAGAATTTGTCAAGCAAGTGGTGCATAGCTGGGCTAAGCACATATGGAGGGCTTACTGCCGCTGGTTAAGAGGGTGCCGGGCGGGTTGATGCAGGGGGTGTGGATGCAGGGAGGGTGCATGCAGGGAGGGCGGATGCAGGAAAGGCGGATGCAGGAAAGATGGGGGTAGTTGCGCTGCCTGGCAGCCCTCGGGGCACTCTGCCACTCCATGCGGTGCAATCTGTTGGTCGTCAGTGGTGACAGGCAAATCAGGAGGAGCTGTAGCAGCACGCGCTGCAGGTGTGGCAGCAGGTGTGGCAGCAGGCGTGGCATCAGGTGTGGCAGCAGGTGTGGCATCAGGTGTGGCAGCAGGTGTGGCAGCAGGTGCGACAGCAGGTGTGGCAGCAGGTGTGACAGCAGGTGCTTCGGCAGCCCAAGACGAGGAAACAAATAACACCTGCGGACACGAATGCCGTCTGCGCACCCGACGGCTTGCTGCCTGTCGCCATTCGCCCCAATCATTTGCCCTCACTTCCCACACCTTTCCTTTCCCACATTTCCCCTGCCATCCCATCCTACCCTCTCTCTCCCCCCATCTGCTTCCTCTTCACTCACCCTGCTGCGACTTTTTCACCTCTCAGCCATCTCGCCTTTCCCCGCCTCCCCCTCTCTCTCCTCTTGTTCCTCATCAGGCGTCACTGCAGACGTGGTGGCAGCAGCAGGCACAGCAGCAGCAGCGAGCGCAGCAGCAGCACCTCCTCATTCCCCGTCTCGTCCTCCTCCTCTTTCTACTGCTCTGTTCCTCACCAGCTGTCATTGCAATCGTGGTGGCAGCAGCAGCTTCAGCAGCAGGGACACCAGCAGCGGCAGGTGCAGCAGCAGCAGGACCTTTCAATACAGGGTGGATTAGGGGTGTGCTTTCAACGCGGGAGCTTATGATTGGTGGAGGGAAAGGTGAAATGCATTCAGAGAAGGGATTGGGGAAGCAAAATAGGGAAGGGAGGCACCCGTGTCTCCCCGGCTCATCTTTCTACTCGTCTCCGACTTGCTCCTGCTCCTCATCCCCCTCCTCTTCCTCCTCTGTCTCCAATTCCCACTCTTCTCTCCCCTCCTCCTCCTCCTCCTCCTCCTCCTCCTCCTCCTCCTCCTCCTCCTCCTCCTCCTCCTCCTCCTCCTCCTCCTCCTCCTCCTCCTCCTCCTCCTCCTCCTCCTCCTCCTCCTCCTCCTCCTCCTCATCCTCCTCGTCCTCTGTGTCTCCTGTCACTTCTCCCTCTTCTCTCTCTTCTCCCCTTCCCACCGCCACAATCACCCTCTGCTTGCTACTTTCCTTCTCCCCCCTTTTCAGCCCCCTAATCCCACCCTCCCTCTCCTCCTCCTCCTCCCCCTCCCCCGCATCATCCCATAGCTTATTCACTGCAGTGCCAAGAGGGACGGCAACAGAGGCTTTCGCAGCGTGCCGCCCAAACATCCCCGAGCCACATCCTCTGCCTCCATGCATGTCCAGCAGTCTAGCAGGGGAAGAGACCCGTGAGCTGGGACGAGGTTGTCGAGTGGGAGAAGAGAGGTGGGATGGGAGGAGGCACATGGCTACCTGGATGGCGGGGGTAGGTAGCGGTGAGGACGCGCAGGAGGGGCTTAGTAGTTGGCCGGGCAACAGCAGGCGCAGCAGCAGGCGCAGCAGCAGGCACAACAGCAGGCGCAGCAGCAGGCGCAGCAGCAGGCGCAACAACAGGCGCAACTGGTGCAGCCGTTGTATCTAAAAACGGTGGCTGCCCCCGACACATGCTGTTGACGCACAGAGTCATGTTGTTGCGCTGCTCCACGTTCCATGTGCCTGCTGGCTCCTGCTGCTCGTGGCGAGAATTCTATCTATCAATTGGCGCATGTAACGGCTGATTGGTGCTGGTGACGATGATGCAGGGAGGGTGGATGCAGGGAGGGTGGATGCAGGGAAGGTGGGTGCATTGGGAGCAGTTGCACTGCCTGGCATCCCTCCTTGCAGCCCTCCTTGCACCTGTGCCACTCCATGCAGAGTGGTCCGCTGGTTTCGAGGTGTGACAGGTGCCACAGACGCAGGTGCCAAAGAGGCAGGTGCCACAGAGGCAGGTGCCACAGAGGCAGGGGGCACAGCAGCAGGGGGCACAGAGGCAGGTGTGGCAGCAGGTGCATGAGCAGGTGCCACAGCAGTTGTGGCAGCAGGTGTTTCAGCAGGTGTTTCGGCAGCCCACTGTGACGAGCCGAACAGCAGCTGCGGATGGGAGCGTCGTCTGTGCACCCTACGGCTTCTTGCCTGGCGCCATTCGCCTTCTACTGCCCTCCCTTCCCATGCCCTCCCTTCCCCTCCTCTCTCTTCCTCTCCTCTCACTTCCTCCATCTGCTTTCTCTTCCGCTCACCCTGCTGCGAATTTTTCATCTCTCCACCACCCCCCCTCGCACCATCCCCTCTCGCACCATCTCGCCTTGCATCACCCTCCCCACCACACACCCTTTCAACATGCCGCCATCTCTGCTGCGCCCCACCGCCTCTCGCGCCACCCTCCCCACCACCTTCACTCTTGAGTCTACTCAAAAGCAGCCCCTGCTGCGCTCCACCACGTCCACTCACACCATCCCCCTCACCACCCCCCCTCCCACCATCTCGCCTCGCACCATCCACCCCACAACCCACCCTCTTACTCTCCTGCAGCCTCTGCTGCGCCCCATCACGTCCACTTGCATCAGCCGCCCCACCACATCCACTTGCATCAGCCGCCCCACCACTTCCACTTGCATCAGCCGCCCCACCACGTCCACTTACATCAGCCGCCCCACCACGTCCACTTGCATCAGCCGCCCCACCACGTCCATTTGCATCAGCCGCCCCACCACGTCCCCTTGCATCAGCCGCCCCATCACATCCACTTGCATCAGCCGCCCCACCACTTCCACTTGCATCAGCTGCCCCACCACGTCCACTCACATCAGGCGCCCCAGCATCCGCCCTCCCATCATTCCATGCACCCTCCCCTGCACCACCCCATCTCTCCCTCTCCTCGCCTCCCCCTCTTCTGACGAATCTATTTCCATCTCATTCCAAACAGCCTCCTCTACCACCTCCTCCTCTCCATCCTCCTCCTCTTCTTCCTCCTCCTCTCCATCCTCCTCCTCTTCCTCCTCCTCCTCTCCATCCTCCTCCTCTTCCTGACTCTGTTGTTCCTCCTCTGCCTGTTCCTCCTCTTCCTCCTCTTTCACCTCCACTGTCTCCTCCTGTTCCTCCTCCTCGTGTTTCTCACCTGGTACCACTGCGAATCTGGTGGCAGCAGCAGGTGCAGCAGCAGCGGCAGGTGCAGGAGCAGTGGGCGCAGCAGCAGCAGCAGTGGAAGCCCGTTCCATCTCCACCCATTCGGTTGCCTCTACCACCTCCTCCTCCTCGTCTTCTCCCTCACCCTCTGCCGGCCCCTCCTGTTTCTCCATTTTCACCTCCACTTTCCGCGCCTCTTCCTCCTCCTCTTGTTCCTCACCAGGTGTCATTGCAAATGTGGTGGCAGCAGCAGCAGCAGCAGCAGCAGCAGCAGCAGCAGCAGCAGGAGCATCCATGTCAAAATCTCTGATTTCCCTCACAGCAGTTTCGTCGTCTCCCCCCCCCTGTGACGTTTCTCCTCCCATTTCCACAAATTCGGTTGCCATTACCGCCTCCTCCTCCTCCTCCTCCTCCTCCTCCTCCTCCTCCTCCTCCTCTTCTCCCTCCTCTCTCTGCGCCTCTTGTTGTATCTCTCTCTGCGCCTCTTGTTGCATCTCTCTCTGCGCCTCTTGTTGCATCTCTCTCTGCGCCTCTTGTTGCACCTCTCTCTGCTCGTCCTGTTGCTCCACTTTCACTTCCACTCTCCCCACCTCTTGCTTCTCACCACGTGAGGTAGCAGCTGCAGAGGTGGCAGCAACAGATGCAGCGGCAGCAGCAGCAGAAGGATCAACAGCAGTGGCAGCAGCAGCACCAGGTGCAGCAGCAGCAGGTGTTGTGGCAGCAGGTGTTGTGGTGGCAGCACCAGGTGTATCGGCAGCACCAGCAACGGGTGCACCAGGTGCAGCAACAGATGCAGCAGCCACAACAGAAGAGAAATCAACAGGAGCGGCAGCAGCACCAGGTGCAGCAACGGATGCAGCAGCCGCAACAGAAGAGAAATCAACAGGAGCGGCAGCAGCAGCAGGTGCAGCAGCAGCAGGAGTATCGGCAACACCAGCAGCGGGTGCACCGGGTGCAGCAGCAGTGGGTGAAGCAGAGGGGGAGGTGAGGCAGAGGGGAAGGTGAGGCAGTAGACAGCAGCTGGGCGTCGAGACTTCGATACACCCGGCGGCTTTTCCGCCCGTGCCATTGCCCCCATGCATTTGACCTCCACTCCTCGTCCTCGTCCTTCTCCCCCTCCTCCACCTCCTCCTCCTCTTCTCTCTGATTCCTCTTCCTCACAACCCGCTGCACTGTCCCCTGCTCTCCACCACCCCTCTTCTCACCCTCTGTGTGCACAGCAGCACGCGTGTTACCACGTGTGTCAGCATGTGTGTCAGCACGTGTGTCAGTACGTGTGTCAGTACGTGTGTCAGCATGTGTGTCAGCACGGTTGTCAGCACGGGTGTCAGCACGGGTGTCAGCACGGGTGTCAGCATGTGTGTCAGCACGGGTGTCAGCACATGTGTCAGCACAGGTGTCAGTACGTGTGTCAGTACGTGTGTCAGTACGTGTGTCAGTAGTACGTGCGTCAGCATGTGTGTCAGCAAGTGTGTCAGCACGGGTGTCAGCATGTGTGTCAGCACCGGTGTCTGCACGGGTGTCAGCACGTGTGTCAGCACGGGTGTCAGTATGTGTGTCAGCACGGGTGTCAGAATGAGTTTCACCAGCACCACGGCCAACAACACCAGCACCACTGCCACTACCACTGGCACGTGCATCAGGAGCACCACTCTCAATACTGTCTAGAAGCTGCAACAGAAGCGATGCACGGAGGGCAACAGCAGCAGCAGCAGAAGTAAAGTATCCCTCAGAAGCGGCAGTAGAGATGGCTCCCTTGGCAGCAACTAGGCCACTCCCATGTGCATCCGGAGCACCACTATCAGTGCTGGCTGGTCCAGGAAACGAAGCAGGCATGACAGGAGCAGCAGCAGCAGCAGCAGCAGCAGCAGCAGCAGCAGCGGATTCCTCAGCAGTGGTAGCAGATATTCCCCCAGCAGCAGTGGTAGAGGAAGCCTTCTTGCCAGCAATTGAGTCACCCCCATGCCCCTCACTTGCGCCCAAGTCACCCCCACGCCCCTCACTTGCGCCCAAGTCACCCCCACGCCCCTCACTTGCGCCCAAGTCACCCCCACGCCCCTCACTTGCGCCCAAGTCACCCCCACGCCCCTCACTTGCGCCCAAGTCACCCCCACGCCCCTCACTTGCGCCCAAGTCACCCCCACGCCCTCACTTGCGCCCAAGTCACCCCCACGCCCCTCACTTGCGCCCAAGTCACCCCCACGCCCCTCACTTGCGCCCAAGTTACCCCCACGCCCCTCACTTGCACCCAAGCCACCCTCTTCCCCCCCACGCCCTTGCATGCCACATCCACTCATGCTAAGCCCACCCGTACTGCACCCGCCCACACCAGAGCCAGCCATAGCAGCCCCGTTCGATTCGTCATCATCTCCCTGGCTCGCACCCCTGGCTCGCTCCCACCCCTTAGAAGATCTCACCCCACCCTCCCACCTCACCCCAGCACAGCATCCATTCTCACTGCTCCTCATTTCCACTCCCTGCGTTCCCACCATACCAGCATCCATTTCCCCCACCTCTCCTTCCGCCATGTCCCTGTAACCTATCCGGCCTGCAAAACTCCCACCACCCACAGCACAGCCCGTACCAGCATCAGCACCAGTAGCATCAGCACCAGTAGCATCAGCACCAGTAGCATCAGCACCAGTAGCATCAGCACCAGTAGCATCAGCACCAGTAGCATCAGCACCAGTAGCATCAGCAGCAGCAACACTCACAGCGGCAGCAGCAGCTATCCTATAAGTCGCAGTGGCAGCAGCAACAGCACCACGACCATCAGCAGAAGAAGCACCAGCAGTACCAACAGCAGCAGCAGCAGCATCACCACCTGCGCCCACACTAGTAGCAACAGCAGCATCACCAGCACCATCACCTGGACCAAAAGCACCACCACCACAGGTCGCTACAGCACCATCAACCTGACTGATAAGCACCACATCATCATCTCCACCACCATCACCACCGGGACCAAAAGCACCACCACCACAGGTCGCTACAGCACCATGAACGTGACTGATAAGCACCACATCATCATCCCCACCACCATCCCCACCACTATCCCCACCATAACCAAAAGCACCACCACCACCGGCGGTAGCTACAGCCCCATCAACCTGACTGATAAGCACAACATCATCATTCCCCCACCACCACCACCACCGCCACCGCCACCGACACCCCCACCGCCGCCACAAGCATCAGCAGCAACGCCATTGTCAGCAGGAGCATTCTCTTCACCATAATCACCAGCAGCAGAAGCAGCAGCAGCAGCAGCAGCTGCACCACCTCAACATCAGACAGCACGGGCCCTTGCCACGAAAACGGTGCGTTCACACGCCAATCCTCCCACCCCCACCCGCTCACCACCACCACATCCTTCCCCACCAGCATCTCTCTCCGCTCTACCCCTCTGAGAGGGTACGGCCGTCCAATACAGTCCAGGTGGTGTTTCAGCAGCACGGGGAGGGGGTGGAGGGGGTTGAATCTCACGCAGAGGGAGGCGATGCGGCAGCGCACCACGGACCAGTCCAGCCTGCTGCCGCAGCCGCCATGCGAGACATACCGAGTCCGAGTGGGGTGGTGTCTGCTGCTACCATTGCTGCTGTTGCCGAGACTGGGGGCGGCGAGGCTGCTGCTGCTGCAAAAGCTGCTGGTGTTGAGAAACGCAACGGCGCAGGGTTAGAGGCAGGAGAGGCGGGAGGATGTGGCGGGTTGGAAGGGGGCGTAGAGAAGCGGTGGTGGTAGAGCTGCACGTGGAAGGTGCAGCGGCAACAGTGCTTGCTGCGTGAAGCCCTGTGCTTGCAGCGCGTGACTTTGACGACCCGACCGTCGTAGTGTGCCTGGGGAAGAGGATGGGAACACAACGCAGGGAGACTTTAGAGTCGACTCAAAAGTCGCCTGGGGAAGAGGATGGGAACACAACGCAGGGAACGCACAACGACGTGGGTATACCGTATAACTGTGCATCACTACCAACAGCTGTTATTCATTTCAGATCGACATGCTAATCAGCGGCTATGACGTGGAATTGAACAATGCACTGAATGTAAGGCACGTCATATGTTGCGTGCAAAAATGCCATGACATGTGTCGTAAGCGATGAAAAGTGTCATATGCTATGAGGTATTTCATAAGTGTCACTGGTGCACTCATGACTTGGCATACATCATGGTCATAACACCAAGGAAAAGGTTGACCATGTCACATGTCTTGACCATGTCACATGTCTTGACCATGTCACATGTCTTGACCATGTCACATGTCTTGACCATGTCACATGTCTTGACCATGTCACATGTCTTGACCATGTCACATGTCTTGACCATGTCACATGTCTTGACCATGTCACATGTCTTGACCATGTCACATGTCTTGACCATGTCACATGTCTTGACCATGTCACATGTCTTGACCATGTCACATGTCTTGACCATGTCATATGTCTTGACCATGTCATATGTCTTGACCATGTCATATGCCTTGACCATGTCATATGTCTTGACCATGTCATATGTCTTGACCATGCCATATGGTGTCCCTAAAAACTCCAAGCGTCCTTTAAAAACTCGCACAAAACCGCCTCGAGGTCCCTTAAGCGCTGCTCCTTAGTTGCACAGTAGATTTAAAATGTCGTCAAGGTAACGAATCACGCACTTGTCGACCCATGGCATTGGATTACGAAACGGTATGAAGTCACAAATGCCTACCCCCCACTCTTGAACGGATCCACTTCTCACCTTGTCTTTGACCGTGGCATCTCCTGCAGGGTGCTTCACGTATGCGACAACCGCCATTCCTTCTTTCACTCGATGACAGTCGGCCGACTCAAGCGGGCGCGAGTCCAAACGCAGCCTAGCTCCCACCACCATCTCCTCCTCCTCCTCTGGAGATCCCGTATATAGGACGTGGTAGTGCTGCAAGCCCCAATCCGGGTCTTGCTCCTTATGGGACGCTTTCTCGCCTTCCAGTTTGCCCAACACGTTGCACGTCCAAATGCTGCTGCCCTGAAAGCACTCAAAACCTGCTACAGGGGGAGCACACTAGGCACGCAAGTGACACCAGCTTCGGTGAAGGAAGACCAACAACGAAGGGGACGAGCACAGTGACGTGGAAAGGTAGCAGCAGATTGATGTGGCAGCGTGGAGGAGGAGGAGGAGGAGGAGGAGGATGAGGAGGAGGAGGAGGGACGAACAACGCATAGGAAGGGGTAGCATGGGAACAGACGGTACAGAACCATCAATGCAAGGATACGCACCGGTTCTGTACCGTCTGTTCCACACTAGGAAGCCACCAGATCTGAGCTCCCACCGCATGGTAAACAGCAGAAAAAAAGCCGAGGGAAAGAAAACGCCAAAGCAATTATCCTTACTCGGCCTGCTGTTGGCATTGCGTGGGGTCCGTGAGTCGCGTCGCGTGCGTGAGTTTCGAACCATAGCTGCCACTTTCTGAAGGCCTCCCTTCAAGCGTCCTTGGCGCTCTTGGCGATCTTGGCGATCTTGGCCGCGATCTTCGCGTTCTTGGGGGTCAACTCCTCAGTAGTCAGACACCGCGGACATGCCAGGGAGGGTGAGAAGGTGGATCCACACGCAGTAACTGCAGGCACGGAAAAAGGGTCTTTGTTGCGTCGTCAAACGGGAGAGGTATCGAAGGAAAGCCCCGAGCCTCGTGTTGGCGTACGAAGCATGATTTCCAGGTTGCGCGATGGTACGCGACGTGGTCCCACCACCTGGGGTGGCCCCTTGTCGCCGCGTGTGCGAAAGAACATTTCGCAATCGCGATAGGCTCGTCCCTTTTTGCGAGCAACCTGGGAGGAATCCGATTGATCGCGTTTGTTTCCTGCCAGATCAGAGCAGTGGTAACAGCACTGCTCTGCTGGCGCGCTGCTCTGCATGGTGGAGTGTCGGGGGGCGACGTCTGCCAGGTGGACTGAGATTCCCACGCAAGGAAGAGTACCGGTAGTTCCCTCGGGTTTGCTCGCTGGGACAGAAGCAAGGTGACTGATTATTGAGTCGACTCAGAAGTCAGCTCGTGGACGAGATTGCCATGCATTGAAGAGACGTTCCTCGGGATTGCTCGCTGGGACAGAAGCAAATTCATCAGGGAGCCGTTCCCTAGGGGTGGTGTGGTGTTCCTATGTTCCTAGGCATGTTCGCAAGGGTTGGGAGTTTATAGTTCCATTACTAGTCTTTCGAACTTTGCAATTCAGAGGCATATTGGCGAAATGGACGATAAGTGACCAGATCGGTAATAAATCCCGGGAAGGCGGTGAGTGGGACGAAACGAAATACACGACCTGTAACCCGAACGACCGTAAGGCGGGGAGTGACGCGAAGAAAATTTGACGACTTGTAACCCGGGAGTTTTGAAACATTTCATTGCCGAACCCGCCCCAGCTCAGTTTGCATAGTAGAGCGCATTGAGTGCGCCTTCGCCCTTGTTTCCCAAGGGAGCTCAGCCGCCGAGGACTCAGGCGCCATAGGCCTTGCGCTGCTGACGCAATGCCTCAAGCCTTGCCGCTTTGCTGGTCACTCCTGTGTGCTTGTACTTGGCTGGCGCCTTCCCCGCCGCCTCAACCATAGTACAGTAGGACGACGTTGTACTATAGTTGCTGTACTAGTGTTTTCGTCATTCAGTGTAGAACGACGCTGCCGGTTTTAGGCGCATGATGGATTCGCCGCTCTAGTTTGGCATCGGACGGTCCGGATTGGATTTCACGCATCATCGTCATGAGTCTCGGCAGATGGACGGCGAGATATGTGAGTTCCGTAAACTCCACGCGCGCGAATTTCTTCCATTACAATGCGCAACAACGCGACTCGTGTTAGAATGAAGCCGCTCCGCTGGGCAGCATGGCGGACGTTTGAACTGATAACAGCAGCTGCGACTCGGACACGTGCTGGCTTCGCCGTGTGGCGTTATCGTGCACGGTGGCCAGCCGCGCAGGAGTCCGAGCGCGCTGCCAGCGCACGCTGCTTAGCCGCTATCCAGTGCAGCACTGGCAGCAGCTGCTGGGACTTGGTAGTCCTGTCGCCGCCGCAGCGTGTCTAGCCGAGCGCGCATTCGAGCGCGCTGCCAGTGCACGCTGTTCACCCGATCATCCTCACTTCCCTCTTCCCCACGGACCGTCTGGTAGATTGTCCTTTTCCCCTCAATCCCCCCTTCCCCTTCCCCTCTCCCGTTTCCCCCCGCCTCCCCAACCCCCTCCCGCCCACAACCCTCCTTCCCCCCCCCCACCCTCAACCCAGGAGGACAGCAACGTGCGCATGCGCAGGAAGCGGGGGACAGCTGGCGGGCCCTCATTGGGCATTCGCGTGGGCGCCGGGTCGGCAGCAACCGCCGGCCTGCTTGGCGTTTCTGGGGAGGCGGTATCTACGGCAGTGTTGGCAGTGGAGCAGAGAGAGGAAGGGGAGGAGGAGGAGGAGGAGGAATGGGAGGAGTGGGAGGGCGGCAGGTGTGGGAGTGGGAGTGATGAAGCTGGTACAGGAGCATTATCTTAGAGAGGATATCAAGTGCGGGTCTGCGCTGTGCCACGTGTGTTACAGCCACCTGGCGACCATCGACCCCGCCAACCTGCTCTGGCAACTACCTCCAGAGGACTTCCTCTTTCGAGACGAGCTAGAGCGACCCTCCCTGTCTTCTGGTGCCCCGCACTACGTGGTGAGTGCGACACTTACAGTCGCCTGGCGGCCATCCACCCCGCCAACCTGCTCTGGCAAAACTCCCTCCAAAGGACTTTTTGTTTCGCGAAGAGTTAGAGCGGTCTTCCCTGTCTGCTGGTGCGGTGCCCCGCACGCACTACATGGTGAGTGGTGCAGTTACAGTTACAGTCACGTGCAGGCCTTGCTTGCACCCTGTCAACCTGTTCTGGCAACTCCCCCCAGAGGACTTCCTGTTTCGAGACGAGCTTGAGCGACCCTCCCTGTGTGCAGGCGCCAGGCACTACGTGGTGAGTGAATGACCGCGATTTCTGGCGCTGCCTTTCTCCTTGCCTACATGGACCCCCATCGAGGTGTGCGAGCTGCCACGCTGTATCATTCTCTCTCTGCTGCTCTCCATCCTCCCTTCTCACCCTTGCCCCCCTCATTCCCTTGCACCCCTCATTCCCGTCCCACCCTCCCGTCCCACCCTCGCTTCCCACCCTCGCTCGTCACACCCTCGCTTCCCACCCTCCCTTCCGTTGCCGCCTGCCGTCCCTCTCTCGCTGCAGATCCCCGACGCCACCTCCCTGATGGACTTCATCGAGGTGTGGGAGCTGCCGGGCGTGCGCCACGTGCTGCTGCTGGGCTCCGTGCTCAAGGAGGTGCGTGGATTATGGATTGTGGATTATGGATTGTGGATTATGGATTGTGGATTGTGGTGTGGTGTGACGGTTGAGTCGTTTTGAAAGGGGGAGGAGTGAGCAACAGACCTGCGCCATGTGCTGCTGCCGGCCTCTGTTCTCAAGGAGGTGGGTGCGTGCTGGTGATTATTTTGGTTGGTTTTCCACTGGCCAGGTAGTGAAAGCGACTGGTGTATGTGGGGTTTCATTTAATAGCAACAACATGGAGCGGATGTAGAGTGCGGCTCAAACAGCAACGCGTGTCACTGTGTCACACCATGGGAAGAAGAACCCCAATTTTTTAAAGGGCTCTTTCTACTCCTTTCTCCCTCCCCGCTCCTCTTCTCCCCCTCACCCATCCTCCTCTCCTCGCCCTGCAGGTGCTGCATTTCTCCAGCGCCCACCACACCAACTGCATTCGGTGCGTTCCACCACTGCCACGCTTCTCCTCTGCTGTACAGTACCCTTCCCTTCCCATATACCTCTGTATCTCACACACCGGTATATGCCGGTAGCTGCTGTATGTCCTGTAATGAGAAGTTCTGTACGCTTGTCATCATGTCCTGAATCAACGTCTCCCTGTCACCCGCTCCTCGCCCTGTCAACCCCATCCCATCATTGCGGCCCAGCAAGTCTGCAATGCAGTCGGTTCTTGATTCTCCTGCGCCTCCTCTCACTTGCAACTCCTTGTCTCAAGTGGTCTTTTGTTACTCTGTCTGCCGTGCCGTGTTCAAGTGCCGTGTGCGAGGATGGGAGGTGGGAGAGCTCGTTTCCGTCATCTGGAGGGAGAGCTCCTTCTTTGATGACCGCCACTTCCTCTTCACGCACCTGATGTTGCCTTGAAGCAGCCTTGACGCATCGGTGCCTTCCCCCCCCCTTCGTCCCCTCCCCATTTCAGTGCCCTGTGTGAAGATGGGAGGAGGGAGAGCTCCTTCTTTGACGACCGCCAGTTGCTCTTCACCACCTCATGGCAGCTGTGGCTTAGGCAGCCTTGAAGCATCTGTGCCATGCCTTCCCTTCACTCGCCCCCTCCCCGTTCCAGCGCATTATGTGAGGACGGCAGGAGGGAGAGCTCCTACTTAGACGACCGGCACTTGCTCTTCACCACCTCATGGCGCCTCGAAGCAGCCTTTGATGCATCTGTGCCTTGCGCTCCCCCCCCTCGCCCCTCCCCATTCCAGTGCGCTATGTGAGGACGGCAGGCGGGAGAGCTCCTTCTTTGACGACCGGCACTTCCTCTTCACGCATTTGATGGCGGAGGAGAGGCGGGCGAGCCTCAGGATGACACTTGGAGATGCTGCTTCTGCTGAAGGTGTGTGGGTGGGTGTGTGCATGTATGTGCGTGTGAGAGAGGGGGATCACCACTTCCTCTTCGTGCATTTGATGGCGGAGGAGAGGCGGGCGAGTCTGCTTTTGAGTCGACTCAAAAGTGGAGGAGAGGCGGGCGAGTCTGAGGAAGACACTGGGCAATGCTGCTTCTGCTGAAGGTGGGTGGGTGGGTGGGTGGGTGTGTGTGAGTGAGTGGAGATGGGGGGGATTGGGTGAATGGTGAGTGAGAGGGGAGAGGTTGGCACTTCCTCCTCATGCATTTGATGGCGGAGGAGAGACAGGCGAGTCCGAGGAAGATGCTGGGCGACGCTGCTTCTGCTGAAGGTGTGTGGTTGGGTGTGTGTCTGTGGCTTCGTGTGCGTGCGTGCGTGCGCGCGCGCGCGCGTGCGTGTGTGCGTGCGTGCGTGTGAGTGTGTGTGTGTGTGAGTGCGCATGCATTGGTGGTGTCCATGATCGTGCACACACATACAAGCGCACCTCTTTCCGCATCTCACGCGTGAGAAGCCTAGTTTTGAGGCGCTTCCAAAATAGCGCTCCTCTCTCCACATCTCACCTTCTCACTGCAAGTAGACACGCCATTTTCCCTTAACCCGCCCCTTCAACGAACCCTCTCCCCTTTCCTCCGCCCCTCCCCTCCTGCACCCAGTGGAGCTGTGCCATGTGGTGGCAGCAGCGCAGTGGTTCTCAACCCATCTGCACCGCACTATACCCGTTGTCATCGTGTCTGATGAGCTGGCAGCGGCACGTGGCAGCATGCCATTGGGCGAGGTGTTGCAGGCGGTGCAGCGGAAAGAAGTGGTGGTATGTGATGATAGTGAAGTCAGCATGTCATAGTATGTAATAGCAGGATTAGTTCTGATATATGCAGTACATGGTATTATATATATATGTATATATATATATATATATATGTGGTATGTGGTAGGATCAGTTTTGATATCTCCTGCGCATGTGATACTTAGTGGTAAGCAATATCGTTACCAAAGTACTGGTATGTCCTAGTGCTTTCTTCCCCCCCCTCCCCAAACCCACACACACGCCGCGCAATCCGCCCTTTCTCCCAGGTGATGAATGCCAGCAGAGACGTTCTTCCAGACCTACTATGGCCACTGCACCGCTGTCACCACACTCATGCTCCATGCCTCTCTGGACCTGCTCTGCTGCTCCCCCCCCATTGGCCCCCATCTGCCCCCCAGGTGATGAATGCCATCAGAGGCGTTCTTCCACACCTCCTGCGGCCACTGCACTGCTGTTGCCACACTCATGCCTCCATGCCTCCCTGTACCGTGCTGCTTCCTCCCCATTCCCCCCCCTGCCCCCAGGTGATGTCAACAGAGGCGTTCTTCCAGACCTACTATGGCCACTGCACCGCCGTTACCACTCTTATGGACTCCCTGGTACGAGCATGTCCTTTTGTGGTAACCACATGGTACTTCTTATGCGCTTACTGCACCGCCGTTACCACTCTTATGCACTTACTAGTGAAGCACATCTCCCTTCTGGTAACCACATCTGTTACCACACTCATGGAATCCCTGGTACAATCATGTTTTTTTCTGGTATCCACGTGTTACTTCTTAGAGAAACTGCATTGCTAGTACCACACTACTCCGGGCCTCCCTAGTAAGAGGATGTCACAGCTCGTCTAACCGCTGTCACAGCTCGTCTAACCGCATGTCACAGCTCGTCTAACCGCTGTCACAGCTCGTCTAACCGCTGTCACAGCTCGTCTGCCGCATGTCACGACTCGTCTAACTGCATGTCACAACTCGTCTACCCGCTGTCACAGCTCGTCTAACCGCATGTCACAACTCGTCTAACCGCATGTCACAGCTCGTCTAACCGCATGTTACTTGAAAAGAAACATATGTGCACTATCACAAATATGCGCTGCTGCTATCACAAATATGCGCGGCTGCTATCACAAATATGCGCGGCTGCTATCACAAATATGCGCTGCTGCTATCACAAATATGTGCGGCTGCTATCACAAATATGCGCTGCTGCTATCACAAATATGCGCTGCTGCTATCACAAATATGCGCTGCTGCTATCACAAATATGCGCTGCTGCTATCACAAATATGCGCTGCTGCTATCACAAATATGCGCTGCTGCTATCACAAATATGCGCTGCTGCTATCACAAATATGCGCTGCTGCTATCACAAATATGCACTGCTGCTATCACAAATATGCGCTGCTGCTATCACAAATATGCGCTGCTGCTATCACAAATATGCGCTGCTGCTATCACAAATTATGCACTGCTGCTATCACAAATATGCGCGGCTGCTATCACACTCATGGATGGACCCTTCCAAATCTCATCACTTGCCCAGCCCACCGTCCTACCCTCCCTCCTTACCTCATCCCACCATCCTACCGACCTTACCTCACAACCCCAGCAGGCTACAGTGGAGTCATTTTTAGAATTCTAAAAAATGCCAGCATGCCTTGCGCCTCTCCTCGTCCTTCGCCCTTTCAGAACTCAACACGTATCCACCCGGTACCCTCTCCCCTTACCTCACAACCCCATCAGGCCACCCCATCTGCGTGGCTTGCGCCTCTCCTCGTCCTTCACCCTCCCAAATCTCTACACACGGGCCCACCATCTCACCCTCCCTCCTTACCTCACAACCCCACCAGGCCACCCAGCACGCCTTGCGCCTCTCCTCATGCTCCAAATCTATGTCCGGAGCCGAGCGACGTTCGGCAGTGGCAGGTCAGTGTGTGCCCCACCATCCTACCCGCCCTCCTTCCCCGCCCACACCAGGCCACCCAGCACGCCTTGCGCCTCTCCTCGTCCTTCAGGTCCACGTCCGGTGGCGGCAGGCTCGGCAGCAGCAGGCTCGGCAGTGGAAGCAGCGCAAGGAGGTTTTTCCACCGCACCTGTCGAGTGAGAGCTGGGCTGTGAGAGGGGAAAAGGGGAGGGTTGTTTGTGATGATGGCTATGGGAGGGGTAATGGCAGGGGCAGTAGTAGTGGCCGAGGGAGGGGCGATGGGAGGCTTGGCGGTGGGAAGCAGCGCGAGGAGGTGGTCCCACCGCACCTGTCCAGCGATTTCTGGGATCTGACGTGAAGGGGAGGGGGGGGGGGTTGTGGTGGCAGAGGGAGCAGCAGCAGCAGGTTTGGCAGTGGGAAGCAGCGCAAGGAGGTGGTCCCACCGCACTTGTCAAGTGAGTGCTGGGCTCTGATGCAGCGTGGGAGAGGGGGAGTGAGTGGTGGTGGCAGGAGAGGGAACTTACGTTTCTAACACATGCCGCACATATTCTCTAACACATGCCACACATATTCTCTAACACATGCCACACATATTCTCTAACACAAACACCACATGTACGACCGCACCTGTCAAGTGAGTGATGGGATCTGACGTGGCAGAGGGAGTGGTAGTGGCAGAGGGAGTGGTAGTGGCAGAGGGAGTGGTAGTGGCAGAGGGAGTGGTAGTGGCAGAGGGATGGTAGTGGCAGAGGAGTGGTAGTGGCAGAGGGAGTGGTAGTGGCAGAGGGAGTGGTAGTGGCAGAGGGAGTGGTAGTGGCAGAGGGAGTGGTAGTGGCAGAGGGAGTGGTAGTGGCTGATGGAGGGGTGATGGCAAGCCGTGATAGTGAAATGAAAGTGGCAAAAGAAAGCTTTTCTAAGCTCTGAGAGATTCCATGGCTTTGTGTCTTCGTATCTTGTGCCTTGTTCCTTATCTATCTGTACGATCACCGACTTTCACGGTAATGGCAGAGAGGGAGTGGCAGTGGCCCAGTGGGTGCTATCCCTATCCGCGTGGCGTGGGTGTGCTGCACATCACCATCAGCAGCGAGGTCCATTTTTGAGTCGACTCAAAAGCAGTCCCTATCCGCGTGGGTGTGCTGCACAGCAGCGAGGTCCATTTCCTCACCTCACAGTCCATGCCTTCTCACGCCATACATGACCACCTTCCCACGGGCCACACCCCATCCTCCATACTCCAGGCACGGCAGTGGCAGAGGGAGTGGCGGTGGGTGCTATCCGCGTGGGTGTGCTGCACATAACTACCAGCGAGCCATTCAAAGCCACTGTCAGGCACAGGTGAGGGGAGAGTGCTGTTTGCTACTGTTGACTGGCGTTGATGGTGTTGACCTGAGTTGACTGTGAGTTGACCTGAGGGAGCAGCAGTGGGTACTATCCGCGTGGTTGTGCTGCATGCACGTCACTACCAGCGAGCCATTCAAGGCCAGTGTCAGACGCAGGTAAGGAGCGATTGCTCTTGACTGCTGTTGACCTGAGTTGACTGTTGTCACTTAATTAATATTTCCGTGGTCCCCTTTAGAGCCTCTGCGATGCTCCTCAGTTTGCCGTTTTCCCCATACCCCCTCCTCCTCTCTCCAGCCACAAGCACGTGCGCACTCGCCTCACAGCGACATCACCATACCTCACCATACCTCACCGTACCTCACCATACCTCACCATACCTCACCATACCTCACCATACCTCACCATACCTCACCATACCTCACCATACCTCACCATATCTCACCATACCTCACCATACCTCACCATACCTCACCATACCTTAGTAACATGGCGCCAGCTCAACCGGGACCGGCAGCATACTTATGCCCACTCTCCCGTTGTCTCCCTTTTCTCCCATTGCTCCTCTTTCAACAGTCGTAAGCAGGTGCACTCCTCCCCTTATAGCAACATCAGTATCGTCTCATGTCACCAGCTGAACCGAGCCCTGCCCAGCAGCCTTACCCTTCTTCACTTCTCCCCTCTCCCGCCTCTCCCCTCCCTACACTTATTTCCAGCTGCAATCAGATGCACTCCCCCCTACAGCGACATCACCAAAGTCTCATGGCGCCACCAGCTCAACAGGGCTCTGCCTGGCAGCCTTACCCTTGCCCATTTGTCCCTTCCCCCCTACCCCTACCCTCTGCCCCCTGCCTATGTTTCAGTCGCAAGCAGGTGCACTGCCCTTACAGTTACAGCGACTTCACCATAGTCTCATGGCGCCACCAGCTCAACAGGGTTCAGCCTGGCAGCTGTACCCTTGCCCATTCACACCCCCCCACCACATCTCCTCCCCTCCCTCTTTCTTCTCCCAGCCGCAAGCAGGTGCACTCCCCTTACAGCGACATCACCATAGCCACACGGCGTCAGCTCAACCAGGCCCTGCCTGCCCAGCACCTTTACCTTTGTGCACTTTCCCCGTATCCCCTCCTTTCATCCCCCCTCTCCCCTTCTTCACCATTTCCAGCCGCAAGCAGGTGCACTCCCCTTACAGCGACATCACCATAGTCTCGTGGCGCCAGCTCAACAGGGCCCTGCCTGGCGACACTGTAGCAGTGAGGCTGCTGGGGAAGCGCAGGGTGGGGGGAGGACAGATGGGGAATGGGGGCCAGGGGAGGGGGGAAGAGACAGGGGGATGGAGGGATAGTGGGAAAGAGGACGAATGGACAAAGGGAGGAGGAGAGGGTGTGGTGGGAGTGCGGAGGTTTGATGGTGGGTTTAGTGAGGGGATGGCTGGGGCTGCTGGTGCTGATGGGGACGGTTGGAGTGCTGCTGGTGTCGCTGGTGGTGGTGGTGATGGCGCTACTTCCAGCGCCTCTGCACCTGAATCGTACCCACCACCACCCGCCCCTACTGGCTGGTACCAGGCCCCCGCTGCCGCTAATGAGGCTCCCCCTGCCCCTGCACCTACAGGCTGGGGGGACTCCACTGCTCCCCCTACAGGCTGGGGGGAATCCCCCCCTCCCCCTCCGCCCACAGGCTGGGGGGAAACTCCTGCCCCTCCTCCTCCTGCGCGCTGGGGGGAAGTTCCCCCTGTTGCTGCTGCCTCAGGGTGGGAGGAAGGTCCCCCTGCTGCTGCTGCGTCAGGATGGGGGGAACCTGCCCCCCCTCCTTCCCAAAGCGCATGGGATGGCGGGTGGAGGGATGCAGGGAGGAGAGAGGGCGCGGAGGAGGTTGACTGGCGGGGCACGCATGACACAGCGGGGGGGGATGGGCAGAGGCGTGGCGAGTGGGATGAGCAGAGGCGTGGCGAGTGGGATGGGGGGGATGGTGAAGAGGAAGGGGGCGAGGCGAGGCAGGAGAGCTGGCACAGAACGAGACCGGTTGAGAGGGGTGGGAATGGTCATGGGTACGGTAATGGTGGGTATGGAGCTGGGTACGGGAGAGGGGTGTGGGCGGGGGGAGAGAGGGCGATGGGGAGGGGGAGTATGAGATGGTGGGGGAGGTGGTATCTGTGGTGCATAGGGTGAGCCGGGACTTTGTAGTGTGCCTGAAGGATCATGTGGATGAGGTGGAGGGGGCGGGTGAGCCGGGGGAGGGGAGGGGGATGTTGTGGTGGGAGGAAGAGGAAGAGGAGGAGGAGGAAGAAGAGGAGAGTGAGGTTGAGGAAGAGGAAGAGAGTGAGGAGGAGGAGGAGGAGGAGGAGGAGGAGGAGGAGGAGGAGGAGGAGGAGGAGGAGGAGGAGGAAGAAGAAGAGGAGGAAGAGGAGGAGGAGGAGGAGGGAGAGGAGGAAGAGGAGGAGAATGTAGGGGGGGAGGACGATGAAAAGGACGCCAGGCAGGCAGAGGAGCAGCACGGGCACAGTGTGCTGTCGCCCACACATGAGCAACATCCCGTTGAGACTGGGCCCGCAGCAGGTGCAGCAGGTGCAGCGGTGCGAGCTGTTAGAAGCTCCAGCTCTGCCACGGGCAGCGATGCTGCTGACACCACTCCGTACAGCAGCGTGAGAGGCGGCAGCATGGGAGCAGGGAGCAGGGAAAACAGCATGAGAGGGAGCAGCAGTATGAGAGGGGCCAGCAGCGTGCGAGCGAGCAGTGTGAGGGCCAGCAGCACGAGAGCCAGCTCCCGCAGCCGGCTGTCCCGAGCTTCGTCCTCCAAGTGAGTGCATCCGCCTTTAAGTGAGTAGCTCCCCAAACTCCGTCAATTGCTGCTCTCTTGCCTCTCTGCATCCGCTGACCCCACTGCTGCCACTGCTGCCACTGCTGCCACTGCTGCCACTGCTGCCACTGCTGCCACTGCTGCCACTGCTGCCACTGCTGCCACTGCTGCCACTGCTGCCACTGCTGCCACTGCTGCCACTGCTGCCACTGCTGCCACTGCTGCCACTGCTGCCACTGCTGCCACTGCTGCCACTGCTGCCACTGCTGCCACTGCTGCCACTGTTGCCACTGCTGCCAATGCTGCCACTGCTGCCACTGCTGCCACTGCTGCCAATGCTGCCACTGCTGCCACTGCTGCCAATGCTACCACTGCTGCCACTGCTGCCACTGCTGCCGCCGCTCCTTCCAATGCTGCTGGTCACGAATCCTTGCCAACAAAGTTCCACTGTCCACTCCTCCATTCTCTTTTGTTCTTGCTCGTTTTGCCCCTGGCAGGGCGAAGATGGGGTTCCTCTGCGTGCCCATGGACGCACGCCTGCCTCTGGTGAGCGCTGCCTCGTGTGGGTGGCATGTGGGTGGCACGTGGGTGGCACGTGGGTGGCACGTGGGTGGCATGTGGGTGGCATGTGGGTGGCATGTGGTTGTCATGTGGGTGTCATGCGGGTGGCATGTGGGTGTCATGTGGGTGGCATGTGGGTGTCATGTGGGTGGCATGTGGGTGGCATGTGGGTGTCATGTGGGTGGCATGTGGGTGGCATGTGGTTGTGATGTGGGTGTTATGTGGGTGGCATGTGGGTGTCATGTGGGTGGCATGTGGGTGTCATGTGGGTGTCATGTGGGTGGCATGTGGGTGTCCTGTGGGTGGCATGTGGGTGTCATGTGGGTGTCATGTGGGTGGCATGTGGGTGGCATGTGGGTGGCATGTGGGTGGCATGTGGGTGGCATGTGGGTGGCATGCGGGTGGCATGCGGGTGGCATGCAGGTGGCATGCGGGTGGCATGCGGGTGGCATGCGGGTGGCATGCGGGTGGTATGCGGGTAGCATGCGGGTGGCATGCGGGTGGCATGCGGGTGGCATGCGGGTGGCATGCGGGTGGCATGCGGGTGGCATGTGGGTGGCATGCGGGTGGCATGTGGGTGGCATGTGGGTGGCATGTGGGTGGCATGTGGTGGTTGGCACGTGGGTGGCACGTGGGTGGCATGTGGGTGGCATGTGGGTGGCATGTGGGTGGCATGTGAGTGTGTGTCATGCCATATCGATGGGTGCCATATGTCAGGCGCAGCTCACCACCTTCACCAGCCATGAGCCCCTCCTCCACCTGTTCCCCCAACCCTTTCCGTTCACAGCCACACCTCACTTGCCACTCGTCCCCTCCCCTCTCCCTGTTTCTGCCTGTCTCGCTCCCTCGTTCTCCCTCGCTTTAACCAACCCTCCAGATTCTCGGTATCTCAGGCCGACTGCCTTCGTGCCTGCCAGCCAGCCGCTGCCCACTGTGCTCCCCTTGTCTCCCTCCCTCCCCCCTTCTTCCTCCCTCGTTCGCCCTCCTCTCACCCCCCCACCCCGCACCCCCCCACAGATGTTCCTGCGCACATCTCAGGCCGACCGCCTTCGTGCCAGCCGCTTCGTTGTGAGGATGGCAGGTGAGACTTAGGGCTACACGCATACTTCTGCTTTGGCAGCTTGGAGTGCACATTAGATATACCATGGCATCGCTCCCTCCCTACTTCACCATCGCTCTCCTTTTCCCCTCCCATCTCTCGCTCCTTCCGTCTCTCCTGCCACCACCCTCCATTCCCCCTCCCCCTTTCCCCCTCTCTCGTTTTCGCCTCCCCTCCCACCCCCCCTTAGCCTGGGACTGCTATCCCCGCCATCCGGGCGTGTGCCTGATGAGGACGCTCTATATGTCTTCACTTGGACGGCCTACTCATCTTGCGCCCTCCCCCTTCCTCTCCTCTCCCCTCCGCTTTCCCACTTCCCCCCAGCCTGGGACCGCTATTCCCGCCACCCTGACGTGTACCTGGTGAGGACGCTAGGGCCAATGGGAGCCCTCCACGTGGAGCAGGCAGTGCTGCTGGATGACATGGGGCTCGCCTTCCCGGCTTTTGGCGACGGGTGGGTGCATGGGGTGCATGGGGGTGCATGGGGGTGCATGGGGGTGCATGGGGGTGCGTGTGTGTGTGTGTGTGTTTCATACTTTGCTCCCCTCTTTCTCATCTCTTTATGCGTTCAAGTTTTCCAGACCACCGTTCTCCCCGTTGCCGCCTCTCCATTCTCACTAGCCTTGCTCTGTCGCCCACTGGCCTGATTTCTTGCCTCCCACGCTCACTCCGCCCGTTCTCCCCCACCAGAGCCCTGCGGGAGATCCCCCAGCCAGCGTCTGCTGCAGCAGCGGCGGCATAGGAGTCTACTTTTGAGGCGCCTCAAATCTACGCTCACTCCGCCCATTCTCCCCTACCAGGGCCCTGCGGGAGATCCCCCAGCCAGCGTCTGTGGCAGCAGCAGGGGCTGAAGCAGAGGGCAGGGGGGAGTGGCGGGTGCCAGAGGAGGAGATAGCGAGAAGGAGGGACCTGAGGGACGGTGCTCATTTCATGTGCAGGTGGGTGGGCGACTGGATGTGTGACTGGATGGGTCACTGGAGGGCAGGGAGGAGTGGAGGGTGCCTGAGGAGGAGATAGCGAGAAGGAGAGACCTGAGGGACGGCGCTCACCTCATGTGCAGGTGGGTGGGCGACTGGACGTGCTGTGGATGTTTGTATCTCTCTTGCTGTGCTTGCGCCAGTGGTTGAAGCAGAGGGCAGTGAGGAGAGGACGGCGCCTGAGGAGAAGAAGGGACCTGAGGGATGGCGCTCACTTCATGTGCAGGTGAGTGGGCGACTGGACGTGCAAGGGAAGGGCTGTGTCTCTCATGTGCACCGGAGGGACCTGTGCTCACTTCACGTGCTGGTGAGGCGCTCTCCATCCCTCTCCCACTACCTCTCCTGCTCCCTCTCTGTCCCTCTCTCACTCACCCTCTCTGCCTGCCTCTTCCCCTCCCCCCCATTTCCCCACCTCACCCGCGCTGCATCGACCCGCCTAGCAGCACGGATGTGGATAACGTGGCGTGCTCTCCCTTTTTCATCCCGCACTCTCTCTCGTATTCTACCTCTCTCTCCTTCTCCCCCCTTCCCTCCCCTTCCCTCTCCCACAGCATCGACCCCCCTGGCAGCACGGACGGGGATGACCTGCACAGCCCTTCCCACTTCCTCTCTTCCTGCACCTCTGTCTGTCTCTCTTCCCCTCTCCCTCCTTCCCGCCTCCCTGTTGCAGCATCGACCCCCCTGGCAGCCGGGACGTGGATGACGTGCTCTCCACAGCTCACCTCCCAAACGGCCTAATCCAGGTGGGTAATCTGAGTGGGTGCTCGAGTGCACCTCCATCCAGACGCGGTCTTGAGTTGATTCAACAGTCACTTTACAGACTCAGAAGGCACCTCCCCCCCAACAGCATAATCCAGGTGGGTAACCCGAGTGGGTGCTCAAGTGTTCCTCCAGATGCGCTCCTGCAGTTTCGTTGCTCCACCTGTTGAAGCTCCAGTGTGTCTGCCTCAAAGCAGGTGAGCAGGTGAGCAGGTGAGCAGGTGAGCAGGTGAGCAGGTGAGCAGGTGAGCAGGTGAGCAGGTGAGCAGGTCAGCAGGTCAGCAGGTCAGCAGGTCAGTGGGTCAGTGGGTCTCACTTGCTTTGCTGTTACCAACCCGTGCAGCTCACGCGTCTCCTCACATGCACGAGGCCGCTGGGGTCACGGCATGGCGTGGCATTGATCGTATCACAGTGCGTGTTGCTGTGTTGCGCAGTTGCTGTATTGTAGTATACAGGTGATATAGCAACAGCATAGTGCGTGCTGCTGACATGCCCTTCTCTGTGATTGCCAGGTGGGTGTGCACATTGCGGACGTGGCATATTTCGTGCGGCCGGGCAGTCTGCTGGACGCGGAGGCAAAGGCGAGAGGCACGTCGGTGTATTTGGCAAACCAGAGGAGCAACATGCTGCCAGAGGCACTCAGGTGAGATCACTGGTGTGTTGCGTGAGGGCCATAATGTGTTGTGGCGAGGGGGCATGGTGATTAGTAGTACCATGATGGTAGGAGCCACCCTTCGCTTCGCCTACCCACATGTCATCTTTGTTGCTCTGATAGTCCCACCGAACACTCCTATCCACCGAGCTGGCTTTTGAGTCGACTCAAAAGTCATACTCCCACCTGACACTCCTATCCACCGCATGCCCTCCTCCACTGGGTTTCCTCCCCTCCCTCGTACCCCCCACAACTCTTTCTTACCACTGAGGGTCTCTGCTCGGCTGCGCACACCTGGCAGTGAGTGTCATGTGGACCCCTCAACTTGACCCTTCATCTCCACCCTTGCCCTCTTCGCTGGCCTTCCTCTTCCCCTCTCCCCCCTTTATCCCCACCTGGATTCACACCAGTGAGGGTCTCTGCTCCTAAAGGCGGCCACACGCTCTTGCCAGTGAATGTCATATGGAGTCTACTAGGCGCCTCAAAAATAGATGCCTCACGCCTGGCAGTGAATGTTATCTCTGGACCATGGACCCCTTGAACCAATTTACACTCGTGCTCCCTTGTTTCCCTTTGCGCCCCATTTAACTTGCAGCGAGGGCCTGTGCTCGCTGCTGGGCGGCCGCACGCGCCTGGCAGTGAGTGTCATCTGGACGCTCGACCCCTCCAACCGATTCGCGCTTGTGGGACCGCCTTGGTTCGGCCGAACGGTCATCAAGTCGAACCATCAGGTGAAACATTGCATCTATCCATCAGGTGAATCATTGCATCTATCCATCCGGTGAATCATTGCATCTATCCATTAGGTCGATCAATACTATTGCTCTGACCCAAACGCTCCTCCTCCTCCTCCCCATGCCTCACACTTATCATCTCTCCTCTCTTTTCCCCCTCGGTTTTCTACACCATTTCTTCACCTTATCGCTATGTCATTGCCGCCCCTACTCACAGTGCTCCTATGCGCAAGCGCAAGCCATAGCAGACGGCGCGCAACGGCAGCCAGAGGAGCAGCAGCAGCCTGGGGGGCAGAGGGCACTGCGGCTGGCTCGCAGTGTTCCCTCCTTGCTCCGCACTCCCTCGTCCACACACCCCACTCCCTCGTCCACACACCCCACTCCCCCCCCTCTCCTCACACAGCTCTCCTATGCTTGAGGCGCCTCAAAAATAGACTCCTCCCCCAACTCCCCCCCCCCTCCACACACAGCTCTCCTACGCGCAAGCGCAGGCCATAGCAGACGGCGTGCATCCGCTGCCCGAGGAGTATCAGCTGCCGGGGGGGCAGAGGGAACTGGCCCGAGCCAAGACGTGCATCGCCACGCTCACTGCCTTTGCGCGGGTCAGTGCTGAGCTGCTGGGGCTCATTATCTAGGCTGTCTCTGCTGTTGGTTGATTGGCGGGGTTGGGTTCCACTGGCTTTGAGAACGGAGTTCAAGGTCCAGCTGCTGGGGGGGCAACGGGAGGTGGCCCAAGCCAAGACGTGCATCGCCACGCTCACTGCCTTTGCACGGGGCAGTGTTCAGTTCCAAGTGGTTCGAGCCAGCTTTCATTCCAAGTGACTTGCAACAGACCACTGTGGCTGAAGATATTTGAGGCGCCTCAAAAACACTGCCAGACAGATGGTAGGGGCGCTGGAGCCAGCACATGCGGAACTGCAGCTAGTATGCCTTTTCCCTTCCCCCTTCCCCCTTTCCTCTTCCCCCTTCCCCCTTTCCCCTTTCCCCTTCCCCCTTTCCCCTTCACCCTTCCCCCTTCCCCCTTCCCCCTTTCCCCTTCCCCCTTCCCCCTTTCCCCTTCCCCCTTCCCCCTTTCCCCTTCCCCCTTCCCCCTTCCCCCTTTCCCCTTCCCCCTTTCCCCTTCCCCCCTCGCCCTTCATCCCCCTGTTCCTCCTCGTTCTGAGAGCACTCGCAGGAGCTGCGTAGGCAACGGCAGAGGGCAGGGGCGCTGGAGCTGGCGAGTGCGGAGCTGCGGTTTGAGTTTGACGAGAGCCGAGGGACACCCAGGCGGGTGTTTTCGAAGCAGGAGATCCCGGTGAGAGGGGCTTGTAGTGAGACGTGCTTATTGCGAGGTGAGTGCACAGCTGTGGTTTGGGTTTGTTTGACGAGGGCAGAGGTGTGAGAAAAGGTGAACTTATAAAAGTTGATTAGAGGGAAATCACAAGGGTTTACATAGGAATGTGAGGAAAGGGAGGAAGGGAGAGTTGGTTGGGAGTTGGCCAAGATTATTGGCCCCCACCAATAATTCTGGTTGGGATTATTGGTGGTCCAATAATTCTGGTGGGAATTATTGGGGGTCCCAAATAGTTGTGGACCCATTCAAATTGGGAACCCAACCAAGTTGGGAACCCAACCTCCAATTAGGGTTATTACACCCTAATAGTAGTGGAGTGCTTAACTCTACTCAAGACTAACAAATCTATGTAGACTAGTGAATACAGTAAGATATTCTAACACAACCCCTTAGTCTGCATAGAGAGAAGTCTTGAGGCAGAGAATGGAAGCAATCTCTGAATCAGGACGGCGCGAGGGAGGAAGCGAGCGGTACGTGGTGAGTTTGCCCGAGGGAGGGGCTGCTGAGGGTGGTGCGTGGTGCTGTCGCCGGAGGAGGACGCGGGCGGCGTATGAAGCTGCCGCTGGAGGAGGACGCGGGCGGCGCATGAGGCTGTCGTCGGAGGAGGATGCGGGCGGCGCATGAAGCAACAGCCAGAGGAGGACACAGGCGGCGCATGAAGCTGCCGTCGAAAGAGGACGCGGGCAGAGCATACGGCTGCCGCCGGAGGAGGAGGTGCTGCTGCTGCTGCGGGCGGCGCGTGCGGCTGCCGACGGAGGAGGAGGTGCTGCTGCTGCTGCTGCGGGCGGCGCGTGCGGCTGCCGCCGGAGGAGGAGGTGCTGCTGCTGCTGCTACGGGCGGCGCGTGCTGCTGCTGCCAGAGGAGAAGAGGTGCTGCTGCTGCTGCGGGCGGCGCGTGCTGCTGCCGCCGGGGGAGGAGATGCTGCTGCTGCTGCGGGCGGCGCGTGCGGCTGCTGCCGGAGGAGAAGGTGCTGGTGCTGCTGCTGCGGGCAGCACGTGCGGCTGCCGCCGGAGGAGGAGAGGTGCTGCTGCTGTTGCGGGCGGCGCGTGCTGCTGCCACCGGAGGAGGAGATGCTGCCGCTGCTGCGGGCGGCGCGTGCTGCTGCCGCCGGAGGAGGAGGTGCTGGTGCTGCTGCGGGCGGCACGTGCGGCTGCCGCCGGAGGAGATGCTGCTGCTGCTGCGGGTGGCGCGTGCAGCTGCCGCCGGAGGAGGAAGTGGTGGTGCTGCTGCTACGGGCAGCGCGTGCTGCTGCCGCCGGAGGAGGAGATGCTGCCGCTGCTGCGAGCGGCGCGTGCTGCTGCCGCCGGAGGAGGAGGTGCCGGTGGTGCTGCTGCGGGCGGCAGGTGCTGCTGCTGCTGCGGGTGGAGCGTACGGCTGCCACCAGAGGAAGAGGTGCAGCTGCTACGGGCGGCGCGTGCTTCTGCCGCTGGAGGAGGAGCTGCTGCAGGGGGAAGGGAGGTGTGAGGGGTGGCTGGAGGGTCCGGAGGAAGAGGAAAGGACGTGAGAGGGGTGGCGGGAGGTTTCCAAGGAAGAGGAAGGGAGGTGAGAGGGGGCCGGGAGGAGCGGAGAGGGGGGGTTAAGGAGCCGCTGAGGGGAGGGGAGTGGGGGGAGGTCGGGCGGAGGGAGGGTTAAGGAGCCGCTGAGGGGAGGGGAGAGGAGGAGGACGAGCAGAAAGCCGGTTAAGGAGCAGCTAAGGGAAAGGGAGGGGAGAAGGGGAGGACGGGTGGAAGGCCTGTTCAAGAGCTGCTGAGGGGAGGGGAGAGGGAGAGGACGGGTGGAAGGCGTGCTGGGAGTCGATGAGGGGAGAAGAGAGGGGGAGGACGGGCGGAAAGCGGCCTCAAGTGCCACTGAGGGGAGGGGAGAGGGGGAGGACTGGCGGGAGTGGGGCTAGGAGCCGTTGTGGAAAGGGGAGAGGGAGAGGATGGGCGGAAGGCGGGCTGGGAGCCATTGAGTTGAGGGGAGGGGAGAGGGGGAGGATGGGCGGGAGGCGGGCTAGGAGCCGTTGAGGGGAAAGGAGAGGGGGAGGACGGGCGGAATGTGGTTTAAAGAGCCACTGAGGGGAGGGGAGAGGGGGAGGACGGGCAGAAGGCGGGCTGGGAGCCGTTGAGGGGAGGGGAGAGGGGGAGGATGGGCGGGAGGCGGGCTAGGAGCCGTTGAGGGGAGGGGAGAGGGGGAGGACGGGCGGAAGCGGGGGGCTAGGAGCCGTTGAGGAGAGGGGAGAGGGTGAGGATGGGCGGAAGGCGGGCTGGGAGCCGTTGAGGGGAGGGGAGAGGGGGAGGACGGGCGGGAGGCGCTCTGAAGAGCCATGGAGGGGAGAGGGGAGGGGGAGGGCTAGGAGTTGTTGAGGGGAGGGGAGAGGGGGAGGACGGGCGGAAGGCAGGCTGGGAGCTGTTGAGGGGAGGGGAGAGGGGGAGGATGGGCGGGAGGCGGTCTGAAGAGCCACGGAGGGGAGGGGAGAGGGGGAGGACGGGCGGGAGGCGGTCTGAAAAGCCATGGAGGGGAGAGGGGAGGGGGAGGGCTAGGAGTTGTTGAGGGGAGGGGAGAGGGGGAGGACAGGCGGAAGGCGGGCTGGGAGCCGTTGAGGGGAGGGGAGAGGGGGAGGACGGGCGGGAGGCGGTCTGAAGAGCCACGGAGGGGAGGGGAGAGGGGGAGGACGGGCGGGAGGGGGGCTAGGAGTTGTTGAGGGGAGGGGAGAGGGAGAGGACGGGCGGAAGGCGGGCTGGGAGCCGTTGAGGGGAGGGGAGAGGGGGAGGACAGGCGGGAGGCGGTCTGAAGAGGCACGGAGGGGAGGGGATTGGAGGAGGACGGGCGGGAGGGGGGCTAGGAGTTGTTGAGGGGAGGGGAGAGGGAGAGGACGGGCGGAAGGCGGGCTGGGAGCCGTTGAGGGGAGGGGAGAGGGGGAGGACAGGCGGGAGGCGGTCTGAAGAGGCACGGAGGGGAGGGGATTGGGGGAGGACGGGCGGGAGGGGGGCTAGGAGTTGTTGAGGGGAGGGGAGAGGGGGAGGACGGGAGGAAGGAGGAAGTCGCGGGGGTGACGCGGATGGTGATGCGTGGGCGTCGCGGACGCCGCGATCGCGCAAGGGAGGCGCCGCGAGGACGCCGCCGACGCCGCGACAAGGACGTCGCGGACGCCGCGACGGGGCCGCCACGGACGGCGCGACGAGGCCGCCGAGGATGGCGCGTCGAGGGCGCCGCGGGAAGCGCGGAAGGGCGCCGTGGGGACGCACGGAGAACAGCCCAGCTGAACCCCGGCGTGCTAGGCGGGGGCGACGAGACTGTGGGAGGGGGAGGAGGCGAAATGCGGCGAAGTGCCGCTACGAAATGCGGCGACGAAATGCGGCCGGCGAAATGCGGCGAAATGCCGCGACGAGATGCGGCGAAATGCTGCGACGAAATGCGGCGGAATGCTGCGACGAAATGCGGCGGAATGCCGCGACGAAGTGCGGCGAAATGCCGCGACGAAATGCGGCGAAATGCCGTGACGAAATGCGGCGAAATGCCGCGACGAAATGCGGCGACGAAATGCAGCGGAATGCCGCGACGAAATGCAGCGAAATGCCGTGACGAAATGCGGAGAAATGCCGCGACGAAATGCGGCAGAGTGCCACGACGAAATGCAACGAAAGGAGGGCGCTTAAGAACGCGGAGGGAGGGCGCTTAAGGGCACGGAGGGAGGGCGCTTTAGGGCGTGGAAGGAGGGCGCTTAAGAGCGCGGAGGGATGGCGCGTAAGGGCGCGGCTGTAGGGCGCTTAAGGGCGCGGAGAGAGTTCATAGGCTAAGGATCGAGTATGGGAGAGGCGTGAGCCATAAGTTCTGAAACCATGTGAAAAAAGGTGAACTTAGAAAAGTTGATTAGAGAGAAAGCACAAGGGTTTACATAGGAATGTGATGAAAGGGAGGAAGGGAGGGTTGGTTGGGAGTCGGCCAAGATTATTGGCCCCCACCAATAATTCTGGTTGGGATTATTGGTGGTCCAATAATTCTGGTGGGAATTATTGGGGGTCCCAAATAGTTGTGGACCTAACCAAACTGGGAACCCAACCTCCAATTAGGATTATTGCACCCTAATAGTAGTGGAGTGCTTAACTCTACTCAAGACTAACAAATGTACGTAGACTAGTGAATACAGTAGGATATTCTAACAAGAGGGACGCCCGGGAGAGTGTTCTGCAAGCACGATATACTGGTGCGAGGGGCTTATAGTGATGCGTACTAACATTGAGACGCGCTTTATAGCGAGGCGAGTGCAGAGCAGAGCTGTGGTCGAGCTTGATGGGAACAGTGGGGCTTGTAGTCGCGAGACATGCTTACACGAGATGTGCTTATGCAAGATGTGATTATACGAGTTGTGCTTATACAAGATGTGCTTATTTGAGATGTACTGATAGGAGATGTGCTTATATGAGACGTGCTTATAGAAGATGTGCTCATATGCGATGTGTTGAGGTTCATGTGCTGGCAGCAGCCCAAGCAAGGTTAAAAAAAAGGTCGATTTTTTCCCCTTTTCACCGTACTATACGATATCGTATTTTTCGGCCGTCAAATACGATAAAAAACGATTCCGAATGTTTCATTTTCATTGGTGGAAAAAAACGGTCGTTTTAAACGACCAATATTTTTAAACGTAACAGAATTCGCAAAACAAACAAATTTGTTGCACATTTATGCGGTTGGGTGAACACCCAACCGCAGAAATTTGTTCAGTCAACAAATTCCCGAAGCGCGACCTCGGCACTATTCCGAGGCGCATATTTCTGCGGTTGGGTGTACACCCAGGAATGTGTTCAGTCAACACGTTCCCGAAGCGTGCCCTCAGCATTTTTCCGAGGCGCGCATTTAGGACGGTTTGCCAAACCCGCTGCGAAACTGTCGTCCGTTTTGCAACAGGCTGGTTTGTTTTTCGCGCCCAGTAGCATGCGTTGGCGCAAAACTGTCTATTAAAAAAACCTCCTTTTTTTCAGAAAATCACCGTATGATACCATATAAAAAAAAAACCATAGAAAAAAACGGCCTGCTGTTTTTTTCAACCTTGAGCACAAGGTGGGAACGAGTTCCCCCTCGCCTGCGTGGCCTCACTGCCAGGCTCGCCAGCCATGCCATGCCATGCCCCCATTGTCATTGGTTTCTACTCCCTTTCCTGCTAGCGGCACCCCCTGCTTCGCCAGGTGAATGCGGCGCCGGTGGCAGCTGCGCTCATGCTGCTGGCCAATGCTTGCCCCGTGCTCCTCCTGTGTGGCAGATGAACGCCGTGGTGGCTGAACTCATGGTGCTCGCCAACGCTGCTGTCGCCCGCAAGCTCACCAGGTGAAGCCTCCAACCACTCGCGCTGTGCGCTCTTTTTAATGGAAGCACTTCTATGTGTGGCTGACAAAAACTCGCTCAATGCCAGAGCTCCTGCGTTATGTTTTTCTGCTCCCCCGTCGTCTGAACCAGAGCCTTCCCCTCGAATGCTTTCCTGCGCCGCCACGCCCCTCCTCGGCCGAATGGTTTTCGACATCTCATGCATGTGGGTGCCATGACATGCATTCATGTGAGGGGTGTTTCATGCATGCATGCCGGTGTCGCATCAATCATAAACAGCCCATTCTGCTTCCATACTTTTGACAATAATAATTTCATCGTGAATTATTATTTTATTTTGCAAGCGCTCCACCATCGCTTTGCAATATTGTGCAGTGCGAGGCACTCCCATCTCATACCCACCTCTTCACCGTGTGTGTCTTTTCCTTCCCTGTTGGCTTCTTTGCAGTGTTGTGCAGTGCGAGGCATTGCACTCGACACATTGACAAACAAGGTCAGCATTCTTCCTTTTGAGTCGACTCAAAAGCGTACTTCAAGGTCATACAGCACCTTTTTATACTTGCAGCTTTTTATACTTGCACCTTTTTATACTTGCACCTTTTTATACTTGCACCTTTTTATACTTGCGACTTTTTATACTTGCACCTTCGTATACTTGCACCTTTTTTACTTGCACCGTTTATACTTGCACCTATTTCACTTGCACCTTTTTTTACTTGCACAATTTTGTACTTGCACCAGAGTTACAGTGATTTCAATGTACTTGTCCATGCCTTCTCGGTGCCCATCTCCTCTCTTCTCTCCTCACTTCTCCTCTCCTCTCTCCTGTCTCCTCCAACAGTCACTGGCCTCTTCCCTTGCAGCAGTCAAGCAACTCGGTGACCCCGTCTTGGATGTGAGCTCTTCACTTCACGCAAGGTCTTCTTGACCCGATGATGCTCCCTCTACCCTTCCCCCCTTCTTTCTTTGGCGCCCGTCATTTCAATTTCCTCATATTTCAGCCAACCCTCGTTCTTTCATGTTTTGCAGAATCGTTACAACTTGCATGCACAAATTGAACCGTCAGCACAACTTCCGCGCAACTTCTGTGCGTGTACATATGTCTTTGCGTCCTGTCCTCTCTGCAGTTTGGGCTCAAGGCCCTCAGCACCCGTGCGCTCTCAGAGGTGGGATGCGGTGATGTGGGATGAGATCCGGTATTGTGGGGATATATGAGAAGCAAATGCAGGCAGGATCTCTCCTGTGCATATGCGTGCTTGCTTGCACATTGCACACAGTAACTCCAACATCCGCGCATGCATGTGTCTCATGTTGCAGGTGATTTTTTAGAATTCTCAAAAATCGTCTGCTCATGTGCCTCTCACCCCCCATGCAGCATTTGTGTTCGTCTTTACTTTTGAGAAACACAATGACACATGCCATGCCTTCCATGTTTCTTTGCTTTGTGCTCTGTGTTTCCCCTGGCAAGAGCGTCTTCCGTTCCACATCCGTGCATCTCCATAAATCTCCATACCATCAAACCCACACATCAGGCGGAGTACTCACCAGCATCAGGCCAGCATGAGCTGTATATAAAGTGGACTCAAAGCACAGCTACTCTATCCCCATGTACCTCATGCCATCATTTCCCCCAACCCACTCGTCAGGCGGAGTACCTGGCAGCATCAGATGCTGCAGCAGACGGCATCGGAACTTATCACTACGGCCTCGCAGTGGAGTGAGTGAACTGCTCCCTCCAGTGGTGTGTAATGTTGAGGTCTGTCTGAGTTTACTCAAATCACAGCATCAGATGCTGCAGCAGACGGCGTCGGGACCCATCACTATGGCCTTGCAGTGGAGTGAGTGAACTGCCTGGGAGTCTGTTTCTTGTGGGGAGAGGTTGATAGGTCTCACACCTAGACGCCATTGGGACCCGTCACTACGGCCTTGCTGTGGCGTGAGTTGAATCGCTTATGCGCGCCTAGATTATACGACTACGCAGTAACCTCGCAGTAACCTCGCAGTGGAGTGAGTAACGATACCCCTCCGGTAGATTCTTGTACTCCCATCCTGACTACCCTGACTCCACCTCGCCCATTCGCCGCTACGCCAACCTCCTAGTGCACCAGAAGCTGCTGGCAGCAGTGACTGTGGGCCCCCCTCCAACCTCTCTCTCTGTCTTTTCATTTGCCTCTCACCCCGTCTCTCCCTTCCTACAGGCTTTATTCTCTCTTCACCTCCCCGATTCGCCGCTACGCCGATCTCCTGGTGCACCGGCAGCTGCTGGCAGCGACGTGAGTGACTGCCCCTCCTGGCAGTGGCGTGACTGCCCCTCCTCACCCTCTCCCACTCCCCTCCTCCCCCCACCCTTCCCAACTTTCGGATCTTTTCCTTCTTCCAGACTCTACTCGCACTTCACCTCCCCGATTCGCCGCTACGCCGATCTCCTGGTTCACCGGCAGCTGCTGGCAGCGACGTGAGTGACTGCCCCTCCTGGCAGTGGCGTGACTGCCCCTCCTCACCCTCTCCCACTCCCCTCCTCCCCCCACCCTTCCCAACTTTCGGATCTTTTCCTTCTTCCAGACTCTACTCGCACTTCACCTCCCCGATTCGCCGCTACGCCGATCTCCTGGTGCACCGGCAGCTGCTGGCAGCGCTGCAGCGGCAGGGGAGAGGGGGAGGGAGAGGGGAGGAGGGTGGCGCGGGAGGAGGGGGAGGGGAGGAGAGCAAGGGGGCGGGGCCGAAAACGGAGGTAGGGAGAGGAGAGGGAGAGGGAGAATCAGGGGAGGGGAGCACAGCAGGAGGGGGGCAGTTGGATGGGGGAGGAGGGGGGAGGAGGAAGGCGTGGGGGGATGCAGCAAAGGTGTGGCGAGGGGAGGGTGTGAGGGAGGAGGAGGGGGTGGGGGAGAGGGGTGGGGGGGGAGGAAGTGAGGCAAATGGGGGCCACGAGGAAACGAGGGGGCCGCAGAGGCGGATGAAGGGGGTGGTAGGAGCGAGGAGGCGAAAGATCGAGAATCGCGAGGCGTGGAGTGGGACAAGGTGAGGAGCCAGGCATCTCGAGTTCTTCGATGTCTCTCTGGGCTCTCCTACTCTTCCCCGTCGTGCCTATTTTCGAGCTGACTTCTGAGTCTATTCAAAAGATAGGCGTCTCTCGAGTCCTTTGATCTCTCTGGATGCTACTACTCTACTCTTCCCCGTCGCGCCTGTATTTCTCTCCATCTATCCTGCAGCCTCCCCTATCTAGCATCCCACCTTCTCAACAAGCAGCACTGTTTGAGGCGTCTGTCTCTCCCTCTCCGTCCCACCTCTCGCCTCCTGGCCCCCAGTTTGCCTCCCACCTCAACAAGCAGCGCCGCCTGGCAAAGCTAGTGCCTAAGAGGAGCGCAGAGCTCTGCCTGTTGCCCCTTGTGTTGAGATGTTAAACTCACTCCCCTCCCACCATCCTCCCTCCCCCCTGCTCTGCAGCTAGCCGCCCATCTGAACAAGCAGCACCGGCTGGCCAAGCTAGCGTCCAAGAGGAGTGCAGAGCTCTGTTTGCTGCTGCTGCTGAGGGAGCAACCGTTGGTGGAGAGAGCAGTGGTGAGCAGTGAGGGAAGAGGGGGGGGGGGGGATTGGTGGGGAAACAGGGATTGTGTGGGCGGGGAACTATGGAGGGGATGAGACGGGTGGTGCTGGGGGCGGCTCTGCCTGCTGCTGCTGCTGCTGCTGCTGCTGCAGCTGAGGGAGCAATCGTTGGTGGAGAGGGCAGTGGTGAGCAGTGAGGGAAGGGAAATGGGACGGAGGTGGGCTGGAGGAGGGAGGGGGGATTGGAAGGGTCCGGCTGGGGTAGCTTTGTCTGCTGCTGCTACTCCTGGGGGGACAACCATTGGTGGAAGGAACTGTGGTGAGAAACGGGAGGGGGAAGGGGAGAAATAGGGATTGAGTGAGGTTGGGAATGGTAGAGGGGATGAGATGAATGGTGCTGGGGGCGGCTCTCCCTTTCTTGCTCCTCTTGTTATTTTCTCTAAGATGGTGTCATTCTATGATGGATAATTGACTCTATTCAGCCGCCCTTGTTCTTCTCATCTCTCTCTCTCTACTGCTTGACACTGCTGCTTCCTCACCCATCGCATCCCATCGCATCCCATTGCATCCCATCGCATCCAATCGCATCCAATCACATCCCATCGCATCCCGTACCGCCTGATAGCACGTATGTGAGATCCCAGGGATCGCCACTCATTGCAGGAAGAGCTGCAGTGTGGAACTCTGTTAGCACAAAGATCAAAGCCTTGTGTAAAACTTGTGAAGATTCTCTACTTGACAGAAACTAGGCTCTCAGTAAAACCCACTCAAGATTCAAACAAGAGGGGAGACCTCGGTTCCCGTGCCTGAAAGAAGTGGAGTGTTGAGACGTCTCAAAGCGACACTTCTATCTTTGAGGCGCCTCAAAAGACGTCTCAAAGCGACACTTCTATCTTCTATCACACTTTCTACTGCCTGACACTGCTGCCTCCTCACCCATCCTATCTCATCCGTTCCCCTGCTGCCTGTGCCCCTACCCATCCTATCTCATCGGTTCCCCTACTGCCTGTGCCCCTACCCATCCTATCTCATCGGTTCCCCTACTGCCTGTGCCCCTCCTCCCAATCAGGTGGTGTCGATTCACGACGGCTACTTGACTCTCTTTGTGCCTCGCCTTGACGTGCAAGGCCAGGTGCCCTTTCAGGTGCGCTCAGGTGCCTTTTCAGGTGTGCTCAGGCGCCCTTTTAGGTGTGCTCGGGTGCCCTTTCAGGTTTGCTCATGCTCCTTATGAGGTGCGTGCAGGTGTCCGTTCAGGTATCAGGGTTTAGGGGTTTAGGGTTTAGGGTGTGTTCATGCTTCCTTCCTGGTGTACTCAGGTGCGCTTCCCGGTGTGTTCCTGTTCCTATTTAGTGTGCTCAGGTGCCCTTTCAGGCGTGCTGAGGTGTCTTCGTATGCTGTCCATCTGCCGTCCATTTGCCATCCATCTGCCCACAGGACAAGGACAGCATGGCAGTGCTGCCTCGCAAGCACGTGAGCGTGGAGGCAGAGGAGGCGGAGCAGCAACAGTTCCGGCACAGGCTGCGAGTGAGAGTGGAGACGGGGGATGGCAGGCGAGTGGCACCAACTGACCTCATGGGGAATGCAGGGGATGCTGCTGCTGCTGCTGCTGCTGCTGCTGCTGCTGCTGCTGCTGCTGCTGCTGCTGCTGCTGCTGCTGCTGCTGGTTACGAGGAGGATGACGAGGAGGATGAGCGGGAGGGTGGTGGTGGTGTGGGCCAGTGCGGCATGGATGAGGACGCTCCTGCATGCGTCAAGATAGTGGTGAGTGCACATGGCACGGCATGGCACATGGTTTTCCATTGTCAAGTCAGGCTCATCCAATCTGTTCGCCACACTTCGCATCACCCAAACCAACTGTCTTCCCACTCTCTTCTCCCTCCCCCCCCCCCTCAACCATCAAATCCTCTACCAGGATTTCCAGCAAGGCTTCTCCATCGTCGAGTACTGGCTCTTCCAGACCCTCTGGGTCCAGCTGTCCGCCTCAGGTGAATTTTGAGGTTCAGGGCATTTTGAGGTTCAGGGCATTTTCCAGGGTCATGTTGATTCCATGATTCAGCTGAGCATTGATTGCTTGTGGTAGGCGGATCAGCAGAACGGAAAGACTTACACCAACTACTAGCACGTGCAACCCTTTAACCCCCCCGTTTTGCGGCGCCTCAAAAACCGCGTGGGCTGAGACTGTTTTTGAGGCGCCTAAGAGAAAGCCCCACCGTTCAACCCTGACTCCATCGCCCCCCCTTTCCTTCCTGCCGGCTCCATCGCTCGCGTCCCCACACTCGTTGTGGTATCAGCAGATGCAGATATTTTTTATACCAAAAGCTCGCTTCCCCACACTCAAAGCTTTTGAGTCGAGTCAAGATGGTAGTATTGGCAGATGCACACCCCTCAGCCGTTGCTCGTGTTCCCTCCTCCTTTGCTGTGCTCCCCTTCCCGTGTACCCATGCCCAACCCCCCCCACTCCTTCTCCCCTCCCAGGCTCCATCGCTCGCTTCCCCACTCTCAAGATGGAGATACTAGCAGATGCACACCCCTCAGCCGTTGCAGCGAATCTCAAGAGCCAATCAGAGGCTGCCAGCTCGGCTAAGCGAGGGCTGCTGGGGGAAGAGGAGGGAGGAGGGGAGGAGGGTTGTGGGGAGATGGGAGGAGAGGGTGATTTCCATTCCTCTCACTTTGGACCCTGGAGGGAAGAGGAGGAAGAGGATGGGGAGGAGGGGGAGGAAAGGGAGGTGGGGCAGAGGAGGGGGAAGACAGGGAAGGTTGGAGGAGGGAAGAAGTGGGAGCAGGGAGGAGTGGGGGATGTGGGGATTACGAGTCAGAAGGACGTATTTTCTGGGAAGGTTCCAGTGGATGGCCTGATTTCATCAGGCGATGTGGATTTTGAAGCGGATGCTGCTGCGGCTGCCACCGCCGCTGCGGTGGCTGCAGCCGTGGTGGCAGGGGAAGGGGAAGAGGAGGAGGAGGCAGGGGAAGAATTGCAAGACACAGGAGATGAGGGAAGGGCAGGGGAAGGGGGAGGACACAAGGGGGGTCAGAAGGGGGGATCAAAAGGGAAGGGTGGGAAAGGCCAGCAGGGTATGGCAGGTGGGGGTGAAGAGGGAGGGAAGGAGGATAGAGCTGAGGGGCTGGGCATGGATGGTGGGGAAGGGGGGAGAGGAAGGAGAGGGAGGAGGGTGATTGGGAGGTTCAGTCCGGCAGCAGCCAGCAGTGAGAGCGACGCCATAGCCAGCAGCAGCAGCAGCAGCACTGCCAGCAGCGGCAGAACCACTGATGGTGCAGCAGGAGGTGGCGGTGGCGGTGGTGGTGGTGGTGGTGGTGGTGGCGGTGGTGGCGGTGGTGGTGGTGGTGGTGGCGGTGGTGGTGGTGGTGGTGGTGGCGGTGGTGGTGGTGGCGGTGGTGGTGGTGGTGGTGGCAGTGGTGGTGGTGGCGGTGGTGGTGGTGGTGGTGGTGGTGGCGGTGGTGGTGGTGGTGGTGGTGGTGGCGGTGGTGGTGGTGGTGGTGGCAGTGGTGGCGGTGGTGGCGGTGGGTTGGGTGCGTTCCGCGGTCGATGCGGCATGCACGACTTGATGGACGCCATGCGGGCGCTGCACATGGCGGGAGGTGAGGCGTGCTGCATGAGGTGAGGCGTGCTGCATAAGGCAAAGGACACTCTGCTATTATTGCTCCAAATTCTTCCAAATTTTTATGGGTATGGGATCAATGCGCTGTGCATAATCTGATGGAGGCCGTGCAAGCACTACACATGGCGGGAGGTGAGGCATGCACACATGGCGGGAGGTGAGGCATGCACACATGAAACCATCAATGTCCATGTGGCAACCGTTCTTCCAACACTTGCCATGAACCATCCATGTGAACCGTCTTTCCCGTTACCTGATTCCCACCTTCCCCTCCCTGCCACCAAACCCTTTCGTTCTAATGTGTTTCCGGAACCACCCTTAACAATACCACCACCCCAATCCCATGCGATTCTATTCCATCCACAGACTCAGCACGCCTGGTCAGCTCGCCAGCGGACCTTGCTTGCGCTTTTGAGTCGACTCAAAAGTCCAACCCTATCCCATTCGCTTCGTTCCATCCACAGACTCTACAAGTGTGGTCAGTTCGCCAGCGGACCTTGCCTTCTCTCTCTCACACAGTGGAGCGCCCCCTCAAGGGCCTGCCCCTTCCGCCTCGGCCTCCTCCCCCTCCACTGCCAGTCCACTTCCTCTGCCGCCCGGTGTTTCCATAAGTGCCGCCCTGCCACTCTCCTTGGGCGAGGAGGCAAGCCTCAATGGTGGTTCGTCCATGCGACAGAAGCAGCTGCTGGTGAGTGTGATGATGTGTAGAGTCAGGAGATTGTGTTCTCTTTCTCTGTTTATGCCACTCTTCATCCTCTATAAGTTTCGTCACTGTCTCTTTGATTTGAATCATGCACGTGTACCCCAATCTGTTTCATGATGCAAGTCGCAAGTCTATTTCACCCTGAATGTGCTCCTTTACTGTGTTTCCAGGCAAAAGCGGCTCACATCCGCGCCATGCTGAACAAGTCTGCCAGATCAAATGCAACTGAAAAGCAGCGGAGAAGAGCTGCGAAAGAAGCACTTCTGCGACAGAGAGCTCAAGGTCAATCGTTAGGAGTCTATTTTTGAGCCGCCTAAAAGAAATAGCTGGAAATTTGCAAAAGAAGCACTTCTGCAACAGAGTGCCATGATGAAAGTTACAACGCGCAGTGCATTGTGAAAGCTTGCTTGGGTCATCTTGGCAAATGCAGCGTGCTTCATTTCATATGGGATTGCGTACATGGTTCTCGTCCAATAGACTACACCTAAATAGGGTGGGTGGGTGGGGAAAACGAAACTGGAACTAGAAATGAAGAACGTGGGTGAGGTCGAATGGCCTCACGTCCCTCTTTTGTAGGCAAAAGAGGGTGAGTAGCGCTTCGTCGCTGTCCTTGCTGCGTTGGCCCTCGCTACACTTTCACAATACACATTTTTTATTAAGCGTTACACGTTTTCAAAAAATTACATATCATGTTAAATTATATAAGTGTAGGCTTGGTAGATGTTATTGAACATTACTGTATAGGGTACAACACCCCTCCTTGTATCCCTCTCTCTTCCTTTCTAGGCTCTCTTTTCTCTCGACATTCTCGCCTACCGCATAGATCTAGATCTCACGCCATCTTAATGGCTTCACCTATTTCTACTTAGCCTACCTTCACGACATGGTATCAGAGCAGGACGCCCTTCCCGGGGCTGCTCTCCACGCTTTCGCTGCGTACTCGTCCTCACCTTGCCGCCGGTCGCGGCCTTCTGTCCGCTTGCCGTCGTCGTGGCCTTCTGTCCGTTTGCCGCCGTAGTGCCATTCTGTCCGTTCGCCGCTGTCGCGGCCTTCCTACTGCCTGCCGCCGTGGCACATTTTCCAAGATGCCGCGGCGGCCTTTGTGTGCTGTCATCCCAGCGTCGACGAGCAGCCGCGGCTCTGACGCCACGCTGTGGTGGCGTCGTCGTGGTGCCGTGGCTGTGTCGTCGGCCTGTTGCCATCGCGCGCACCACCTGCGTCGCTGCTGGATTTGCAGCCCGCCCGCTTGCTAGTAAGCGCCGCGCCACCAATGGCGCCGCGCTGAAGATCCGAAGCCCCGCCCCTTCCCCCTTTCCTCCGTCCCCTCCTCTTCGCCACAGCCGCCGTCTGACTCTCGCCGGTCGTTCCCCTAGTGCGGAGTTTGGACACGCCGCCGGAAGGGCGGGGGCCGCTGCCGTCACCGCCGTCGTAAGCCGAAGCCGTCGCCGCTGTTGTCGCCGCAGGCCTGTTGCCGCCGCACGCCCGTCGTCGTCGTCGCTGTCGCCGCTGCCGTGGACTGCCGCTGTCGCCATCTCCAAGGCCTTGGGGTTGGCCCTGTTGGATTCGTCGTGGCTGATGGGAATGGGGGTGCTAGGTTAGGGGGTGTGGGGGTGTGTGGATCCTTCTACTACCAAGCTTAGGGGGTGTGTTAAATCATATAAGTTATTCTATAAGTGTAGGCTTGGTAGATGTTACTGAACATTACTGTAGAGGGTACAACACCCCTCCTTGTATCCCTCTCTCTTCCTTTCTAGGCTCTCTTTTTCTCTCGACATTCTCGCCTACCTCCTAGATCTAGATCTCACGCCATCTCCATGGCTTCACCTATTTCTACCTAGCCTACCTTCACGACACATCATACATGGTCCATCATGGTACCGTAATCCCCCGAATATATGCCCACCCTTTAATTAAGCCCATTAGGCTTATAACGTGCAAGTGCATTTATATCCGTTATTTCATTAAAAGCCCACCCAACTTATTGCAAAGGAGTTTCCTATAAGCGCATCATATTTCCGTAAAAAAACCGGCTGGAACGCGGAAATTTTATATTGGAAACCCCACCAGCCCTCAAGCGCCCCTTCCGCAGCCCTTCCGAGTACCTTGTTACCGACAAGCGTTTTTTCCGCTCACTAGGCCTGGCTGTGATTGGTGATTCCACTGTGGATTTGTTGGCGAAATATTCCGAGCCGTTTCCACCCAATCAATCCATGTGACCCCCTCTGGAGAATGATCCGTTTGATCACAAATTCACCGAGCTACATTTTTGGTGCCCATGGGCTTATAAATTTTATTTGATTAAAAGCGCATTTAAATTTCCAAGGGGTTCCCCTATAAGCACATATGGCCCTATGTGGGGGATTACGGTACTATAATCCCCTGCAGTAGACACCGTGGGGTGTACTGGTTAGGGCGTGGAATGTACGGTTTCGAACTGCCAGCAAGGGTACAAACAAGACAAGAGCAAACACGGGCGGCAATACTAGTCCAACCACTGGAACAGTAGCCATAAGGTCAGTCAGGAGAATATATATAAATGAGAAGTACACAATCAAGGTCCTAGCGAGGAGCTACAGGAACTAGACCAAGCTGTACACAGTGCCGCTGATGATCTTTAGGCACAAGCGCCTCAGTATAGATATCAGCTGTGTTGCACCTGAGGCCAAGTGTACTACGCGGGACTGGCGGCGCTGCTGTAGCTCACGCAGAAGAAGTACCGCAGCTGGATGTGCTTCGTTCTGCCCCTCGAGTCGAGGCTCCTGACACTAGAGGATCATGGCCCTGTTGTCAGCGTATAGGACCAGGGCAGAGCTAGGTCGCTCACCTAAGTTTGTGAGCAAGAAGGCCAGCTAGCGGAGCTCCTGTGCCGCCATGGCACCAGCGTAGATCTCAGCCTCACATCTAGACTGTGCAAACAGACGACGAGCGGGTGGACCTCCACGAGATGGCGCGTGCACCAAAGCTAAAGCAGTAGCCTTGGGAGGACCTGAGCGTCTCAGCGTCGTTTGCCCACGAAGTGTTTGTGTGTCCTGTAAGGACCACTGGCCTGCGTCCTCGTAGTACTAGCCCCATGCCTGATGTACTTGCTAGATAACGCAAACCCTCTTAGTGGCCGACCAATGCTGTGGTCGATGTCTGCCTGTCGCCACAAAGCAAGCAAGGATGCTGAGAGGGTATGCGAGATCTGGACATGTGCAAGTCATCAAGTACATGAGGCGATCCACCAGCTCTGCGTAAGGACGAGTAGGGTCTACTGACTCGTCAGGGACTGGAGCTGAGAGCCTGTGGTCTACTGGCAGAGATATGGGCTGTGCGGAGGAGAACTGAAGACCGAACATCTGAAGGACCTGATGCACCAAGTGTGACCGTGTGAGAGTGATGGTGCGCGTTGCTCTGTCCCTGGAGATCTGCAGGCCAAGGTAGCGGTGCAGCTCTCCCAGGTCAGTGTAGGTGTGTCTCCTTAGCAGCTCGGCCTTCACGGAGGCCAGTGTATGTGTCTGCAGTAGCAAAGACCAGGTCATTTACTTAGACAAGGATGTAGAACGAAGTCTAGCCTGAGCGAACGAAGAGCGAAGGGTCTGCAGAGGACGGGAAGAACTGCAGGTCAGCTAATGTAGCACGCAGCGTGTCGTGCCACTCTCGGGGCGCCTGTCGTAGGCCGTAAACCGGGCGCCGGAGTAGCCAGTGGGTCCCCGGGGCGAAGGTGCCGGTAAAAGCCTGGCGGGCGGCGCAGGTAGACCTGCTCGTGCAGATTGCCTGAAGAAACGCTGTCAAGAAGTCGAGATAGTGCAGCTCGTAGTCACGCTGTGTTGCTACGTGTAGCAGCGCGCGAAGAGTAATCATCTTCGGGTCAGGCGAAGGTCTGGAAAAAGTCAACACCCTCACGCTGACTGAAGCCTCTAGCCACATAGCGCGCCTGAACTCGCAGCTCTCAGGAGGGCGCTTCACCTTGAAGAGCCACCAGCCATCGTCTGTGTTCACCCCACGTGGGGGAACTGCATCGACGTAGGTGTTGGTGGATCTCCAAGATGCCATCTCCTGTTCCATGGCAGCTATCCACTGTGTGGCCCAGGGTTCCGAGGTCGCCTCAGCGTAAGTGTGAGGGGTCGGGATGTCAAAGGCGTCTGGGTCACCCTCGGGACTAGCAGCATAGAGAATAGATGAGGCGCGGACTCGGAAGGAAAGCAAGCTCGTACTGCCGGTCCTCCGGATGTCATTGCCAAGGGCAGCAGCACCTCCGACGTACGGAGGAAGGGCAGGGTCCGAGACCAGAGTGGTGGCGTAGTCAAGGCGGTGGGTAGAGGCAAAGTCAGCGATGGCAGTGGCAAGAGCGTCAAGACTTGAGACAGGAACGGAGAGGTCGGTAACGAGGGAGGCGAGGACAAAGGAACAGGGGGGCTAGCAGCACGAAGGAAGTCAACAGAGGAGGCAGAGTGAAAACAAACGACGACGGAGGAGGCGAAGGGAGGAGGGGAGGACGAGACGCGTGGGAACGATGCAACATACAGTAGGGTAAGAATGCTGAACAGGAGAGACAGGACGAGCATGAGAGGGACGGCGAGACCAGACGTGGGACGGAGGCGTCGGGTCAGGAGACACCAGAGGGGACAAAGGAGGAGAACGAGGGGGAACGAGCTGGAGACGATTCCAGCGGAGGAAACACAGGGCCGTAGACAAGCAGGGGAGGCGGCGGCAGAGGAGGCGCAGGCGGGCGGTCGGGGAAGGAAGACCGAGGAGGCGAAGGGCGGACACCGGCGGCGAGTGCTGCTGCTGCTGTTCCACGCCGACACCAGAACCTCCAGCTGCACCACGGCTGCCTCCGGGACTCTCCACGCCAACACCCCCAGAATGAGAACCCTCCCCAGCACCGGTGCCACCCCAAGGACCGCCGGGACAAGCCACGACAGTAACCCGAGGACTAGCACCATGCTCAACACCCGCACCCCCAGAGCTCGCGGACCCCTGCGATAGCTCCTGCTGCGGCAGCGGCGATTGCGGGTGCTGCTTCGGTTGCGACGACGGCGAGGGCTACTGTTGCGGTGACGGCAGACAACGAGACAGTGGGGCGAAGACAGGCGGCGAGAACGGAGCCGCGGGGCCACCAAAGTCAGCTGACTCCTCAACCGGGACAACCGACAGGAGGGGAGTGACGTGAGACACACCAAACGGGGCAAGACGGGGAGGGAGAGGAGCAGGGGCTACCGGGGAGTGGGAACCAGAAATAGGGGTGGGGAAACCGAGAGACCTCGGTGGGGAAAGCAGTGGTAGAAGGAGATAGACTCGTCAAATGTGAAGTCACGCGAAGTGAAAGAAGCGGTGAGAAGGCGAGTGGGTAGAAAGTGCCAGTCAAGACGCATCAAGGTGAAACCAAGGAAGACATGGGG